TGGTGGTGGAGATGGACAAGTATTTGCTGTGTTTACAGTGCTGACTGCCTGCACTAGCTGGAGAATTTGTGTCCCCTGTCGGTTCACAGGCTGCCCCACCTGTTTGCTCTGGTGCTCTGTGGGGCTCTCCCCTTTGCTGGACTTTTTCCAGCACCCTGAGGTCTTGCTTGTAGCTGGGGAGTCCTAATTGTGATGTGATTATTGGCAGTTAAACTCTGTCCAAAATAAATTCCAAGCTTTTGTGGGTGAGTGTTGTTATCTGTGCAGAGCACGGTTGCCCTCTGTGCACAAGGATGGGTGAGAGAGGGAGCAAGTTTTTATAGAAGAGATCTGGGATTAAAATAATTCTTTTGGTCATGGTGCAACCTCATACATTACTGCCACAGCATCGTGCACTTAAAAGCAATAGGCACTTTGGGCCACAGGTTTACCTTCCCCTGTCAGCTTGATTTCCTAAAGGAAAAGGCTAATGTGACCACATACATGTGTGTTTATGTACTTCCCTATCATCCCCAGAGATATTTGATGCTGTGGACTGACTTTTGCCAGATTTGACAAGGGGTCAGACCTCCAAAAGAAGCCATTCTAAGTTCTGGGAAGAGAGACATGGTGGGGAAGAGGTCCCAGAAGGAGGGGACACTGCAGTGTGAGCTGACTCTTATCAGACACCAGGGAAGGAGGGTGTCTAGTTGTCACCACTGTGGGAGAAACTTCAGTCAGATCTTGTAATCAACCACAGACACAAGTGTGTCCCATATTTCTTTCTCTTTGATGCAGGGGCTGTGGGGTGCAGTGCATAAAATCAGAGAGTCACATGAGTTGCATTTGATGAAATTAGCAAGGCTGTGTATGGCAATATGGGAGTCAAAAGCCAGGTAGGATTGGCATGGAATTGCCTTCTACACTCAGTCAAGGGCAAGTTGAGACTGATAACAATAAAGCAGGGATGCAGCCAATGCCTCTTTTATTGCTTCATATCCTCATTTTAATGGGAAGGCTATAATTAAGGGAATTCAGCTCCAAGCTATGACCTCACTGGTTGATACTCACATCAGATGCTGCCTTAAAAATAACTCATCAGAAATCAGGGAGTCTTCCTTAGCAGCTCATCTTCTAACAATGCAGTTCCTCCTGAAATACTGGTTTCCAGGCCAAAAAACTTGATTGGAATCCAGAGGGGCAGAACAAGACAGCTTTGCATGCAAATAACCTCTTTAGCAACATCAAAAGGCTTTTCTTTGCCTTGCTCTTGTCTGCTCATCTCTTCTGTTCTGGAAAAATGATGGAAAAAAACTGGGTACCAACTATCCTATATTAAAAATAATGGTGGAAGTATTTTGCTAACAGGTGATGGAAACTTTTGCCCTTGGATGTCTGCTAGGCATAGTTCCTGTGGAAACTTTCTGAACAGGACTGCAGTATTCTGCTCTGGCTTTGTACAAATTTAGGGCTCCAAGGAGCCATTGGCTGCTTCAAAGAGAGGGTAAATCCTTTTTCTGGCAATGACCTGATAGTGTAAGGGTTAAGGGAATTGCCTGCAGTTGGATGATTGCAGCACTACTCAAAAGGATGCTGGAGGCTCGAAAGGCTGAACTTTATTGAGCAGACAGCTTTAATTCAGCCTATCTCAAGGTAACTGTGTCTGCAGTGGCTGAGGCTGACATTTGGTTCTACAAGGGTTTAGACACCACCAGCAGGGAGAGTTCCCAAGCCTGTCACACCCATGGTGCATTCCCACCCTTGTGGAACTGCCCTCCCTGTGCCAGTGCACATACCTGTGGGTCTGCGCTGAGTGATCCAGGGTCATGAGGCCATAAAACACACCCCAGCTCCTTTCTCCCAGGGTTGCTAAATATTTTATCCAGATCAGTTCAGTGATCCAGGTCACTGTGGCCCCATAAAGTGTGTATGTTTCCAGAACAGGAGGGGTGGGTTGGTGACGGATGGGAGCTGGTGCTCGACGGGGCATCGGAACAGCAGTGGGTGCCACGAGGTGAAGTGACATCAGTGACATGCAATCAGCAGATCGTTTGTTTGCAGACCTCTTATCTGCCAGGCGTTTGCATCAGAACTCTTTAAGTCAAGCAAAACTAGATATGAAAGGCACTCCTGGCTTGCAGAGGGGGTCACAGAAAGGGTAATTTTGTTAAGCTTTTGAAAGAATAAAACAATCATTAATGAACTGTTCTTCAAATGGGTGAAGTGTCTTTAATCTGAAGATGTAAATATATTTAGGAGCACTAAGATGATGTGGGCCTGTATCTTTGATACTGGTCCCTTAGGGTTGGTTGTTGAAAATTCAGTCTTGGACCCTGACACCCAAACCAAGAATTGCTTCTGCCTCCAGGTGAGACCGTGTGAGCTCTCAGCACTTATGGCTGGTGTGAGAACAAGGGTGTGCATGACACAGCAGCTAAAATTAGTTAAAAAAAAAATAAAAAGGGAAGTCTTGATGGAAGAAAGAATGAAACCCAAACAACCTGCCCAATATCAGTGGCTGAGGCAGGAAGAAAGTCCTGCTCTCCTCTCTGCCATTCCCTGCAGAACCATGTTGAAATCAGTAAACATTGGGCAACTTTCAACCATCGGGCAAACAGTTCTGCACAGCACGATGTCACCCACAGAGCTGCAGCACATCCTGACTTAAAGCACATTGGAAAGATCAACAGAGATGCCTGGTCATGGTGTAAAGTTCACTTCCAATTCTTTGTGAAGAATCATTGCATTTCTGTTCCCCTTAGCTAGGAAGCTGTGCCCATGAGGAACCTCGGGAAGAAGCAATGAAATGGAACATCAATTACAGTGTTTAGAGCTGAGCACAGGAGCTCCCACTCCCATAGATCCATTCAGTTGTTTCACTTAAATTCCTCAATTCCAACTCCTTCTGCAGCCAACAGCTGCAGCTGCTCTTTGGATGCTTCTAACACAAAACTAAGAATGGTTTCAAATGGAAATCTGGGAAAAATAATAGCAAGGAAAGTCTCCTGGAATAAAAAAGGCCCCTGTTGAGTTGACAAGGCTGTGGTAAAGAGAGGAAATTAGCTCCTCAGTTTAGCTTTGTTTTGAGTGGAGCCCGTCAAATTCTATTAAAAATAATTGTATGATTTTCCCTCCACTGGCCACCTAATAATAAAACAAGTTTTCATATAAATATTTGTTGTGCCAGGAAGTTTTTCTCTAAGATCATTACCTTTTTGATAGGAAAATCTGTCTCTTTTGTGTTGACCAAAATGCCTCTTTTTTTTTTTTTCCTTTGGTTTTGACAAAAGCTCGACATTTTTATCAGTGTAGCTTTTCCTTTGTGCCAGGTGCAATTGGAGGCTCTTCCTAAATAACAGATATCACAATGACGATAACACCACAAAGTAAAGTCTGCCCATTTCATGAATGAGCCCAATTTTTTATTTCTCTTCATCACAAAAGTCATCCCACATTTGTTGTACACACTGTTGGTTGCTGTGTTACGGGACATATCACCAGGTACCAGATGCTTTACTCTTGCAGAAGCACTTCTAATGGAGATGGAAGCTTCTGTTGGCTGTATTTCAGAACAACAGCAAAAAATACAAAACCAAAATATCATCTTCAGCTGCATAGCAAATATGGATCAAAAATTTAACACTGTATCAGATCACAAGCGTAAATATACCTCACCATAAATAAAATTCATTGTACAAAATAACTCAAGCAGCTTTTCATACAAATATGGTACATTTGACAACGGTTTTGGAGAATATTTTCTTGGGGTTTTTTACACCTTCAATTCTTTTCTCTTTTGTTCTCAAACAAACATGAACCTACTGGACTGGAGTAATGCAGGAGAAAAAGGACTAACGTTGTTCAATGCTACTAAGTGCTGTCAGAGTTTAAAAGGAAAACCATTGAAGTGCTGAGCTTGAACTAGTTTGCTTCCCCTTTCTATTGTAGCATTGAAAGTCAAGTGTAGCTTCATCCCAGAAAAGCATGTGCACTGCCAATAGTCACATTTTATCATGGCAAAGCCAGAGGGGACATTAAAATAACCTAGTCTGACTTCATTCATGACACAGGCCATCCCTTCTCCCCACTGTAATTCCTGTATTGAGCCAACAGCTTGTCTTTGAAGTAGATATTCCAAGTGGTGGCTGGTAGATCCCAGGGAGTTTGCAGACTACTTCAGCATAAGCAGGAAAATATAGGTAAAAAAGCAAGTCCATAGTCAGTGGACTTGGAAGTATTCAGACAGGGGCCAGCATTTCCGAGGAAAAGAACATTAGGGGGTCTGCAGATGATAAAAGGCTGAAAACTACAGGATTGGAGCACACCTGCAAGGAAGACACCCAAATTTGGCAGAAAGTCTCCAAGTGTGGAGAATATGCCCAAACCTTTGGCAATCTGTTATTATTTAGCTATACTGTCACAATTTGCTACCTTTTTCCATTCACAAGGATGACATTAAAAAAAGGACGGAGGAAAAAAAATCCATTTTCATGGAGTTGTTTGAAGACCTAAGCCTGGACCTCTTTCTTATACACAGACAAGGAGGATGAGAGAACTGAAGCTAAAGACTATCTCAATCCTTCAGATAATCAAAGGACAATAACATCAAATCTCAGAAATTAGGACTGTAAGGTTATTCCTAGCTGATATCTCATACAACTTGAGCAAGAAGGCAAAACATCTGCATACACTCTACAGTCAAAACACTTTATATTTTGTTCATGACTTTTACATTTTGCTCAAAACATTTCATCCCTTTGAATCTGAAGGGATTTTTACATTTTTGCCAGCAAATCTAAGGGCAACAAATAGATTTCATCTACCTGTTCTTTCAAGTACTTTCAACCGTGTTTTGCAGGGTTTCAGGAACTATTATGGCAAAACTATAGCAAAAGAATGCAAAGAGTTTTACAGGTTTAGGTGAAATATCTCACAACTCATTTCAGAACTAAACAGATAAAAATCAGGCATTTAAATTCACCTTACTATATCCCATTTTGTAGGTAGCTGAGACTAACCTCTTGCTCATGCTGGTTTCTGAAAAGACTCCAACATCCCATAATAACAGATGCAGTAGGACATTTAATTTGTGCTGTGCCTAGAGGCAGCTCTGAGAGCCAGACAGGAACTTTTGCCACCTTTTCAACAACACTTTCATACCAAAATAACAAGCACTTACTATTTAGGTCAGCAAAAATTGGATCTTGGTTGGATCTATCTTCCTGATATCTTATTTTCCACAAAAAATAAAGTGCTTGGTTCTCCTCTTCCTTTTAAAAATACAGATCTTTAAATACCCTCACTCCAGCAGTGTAGAAGTGTTGGAACATGATGGAAAAACAGAACTGACATCCTTAGTGGAAAAGCAAATAGAGAGCAAGGGCCATGTTAGTGTTAACAGATGCTCTTCTGCTGGTCTTCCTCACAACATGGAGGAAACAACTTGCCTTGTTGGGTTGGTTCCTTCCCCGCCACTCCAGGATTTCAGCCAGAATTCCTGAGATTTCATTTTACTTTCAGATTACTGTGCTGCACAGTTTCCTCCCTGCAGTTGAAATGTCTGTCTCAGTAATTAAAAAAATCTTAAGGTGTGAAAATGTCCAGCACTTATCATGTGTGGGGTATTTATTGATTACCACGGGAGTAGGTGATGAAGGTCCGAGAGAAGAAATTCATCCCACCCACCAAGATCACCTCTCGCCAACAGTAGTTTGGCTCTTGTTTCCTAAGACAAAATACTCCAGCTGGGACATTCCTGCTAATTAATTCTATGTTCCCTCTGAGAGAATTAATGCCCATGCTCTGCCTTTTAACAGCTGTAACAGCATACAGTTTACAAGGCATGATGAAATGCATGAAAGGAATATATATTATCACATCTGTATACTGTCACAAGTTATCTGCTGTGGCCAGGCTAAAGCTGAGGAAACACTGCCAGTGGTGAGGCTGGGATCATTTTCTCTTGGAGCATGTGGTTTGATCTCCTTCATCTTCAAGGACAAGCTTTTTTATCACTCCAATGACACTACTGAGGGGAAGCAGGGAAGACCATGAGTTATGAAATCCTCCTTCAGGTTCCACCTGAATTTGTTCTAATTATCCAGGGATCTTAGATTAACTGAGTAGGAAAAGGAAACAGACTCCAGTATTCCCTCTGAAAGCCTTTAAACTTGCAAAATTCGTGGTATTTTTTAATGCTTATCCTATATTTTACCTCTTCTAAACAATTACATCACTTCTGAGTGATGGGAAGTTTCCTAAGCCCTGCTAATAGTCACCATTCTCTGGAGAAAGGTATTTGGTCACTGTGCCACTAGGATTTTGTCTAAACCAAGGGAAAACAGCATTCCTGAACATACAGAGATTATACACCCCAGCTCTCATCCTTGGCTGAAGATCAAAGATCCCATATGTTCAAGGTAACTACACCTGCATTCTGTCAGGACCAGTGATTATTTCCACCCAAGTTAATTTGTTCAAGAGCACATTCACATGAATGCAGCCTCTTCTGTAGTCCATAGGAAATATGATTTATTCCATGGAAGATGTGTCTTCAGGGGAAAACCTCTGCTTTAAAATAAGTGGATGTCCCATAGCAGGGAAAAAGCCAGGCCATTTTCTCTTTCCCCAGCTCTCTGAAGTGCTCAGGAGTTACTTGGTGACTACATCACTGCTATTCTGAAGCCCACATGCCAAAGCTCCCTCTAAAAAACTCTGGAGAGGCAGAGAGTATGAAGCCCACCCAGCCTGGGGCACACAGCCATCCATGACCCCCACCAGCAGGGCTCCTCTGCACCTCCTGCTTCATCCTCAGGGCGCAGTGACATCCTGCCTTCATCCCTTCTTCCCCTCAAAGAGTGAATCAGGGACTTGTTTCAGACCCTCCTGCTCTGTGGCTGGTGGCACATGTCATGGGGGGGTTGATTTGCCCCATTGCTCCTGCAGTGGGAGCGGGTTCCCGGCGCTGTGGAAGCAAGGGACTCCTCCAGCAGGACCCCACGCAGGGGGCTGCAATACAGCCTCAGAGCGATGTGTCTGACTGGGCAAACCACAGGGAGAAACCAGACCACTTCATGGAATAAAAGCACGTTTTGCCCACCCACCCCCACCCACCCCCAAGTCCGAAAGCTACGAGTAAAACCGATCACAGGGATGGTACAGAGGAACATGCACTCAGACGGGGCCGAGGGGAAGATGCGTCCTCGGGTGTAGAGGCAGACCCAGCGTCACTTCGCTGCCAGGTCTCACACCAAGTTTACCCCTCCCAGCTGGTTTGGGTCCAGTCCCTTCTCCCTTCCCAACCCACGTGGGGTCCGTGTCCACACTAGCAGGTGGTGGCCAGCGACTGGTGGATTGGGGGCTGGAAGCAGCGCACGTGCTCCACCGTGGAACTGTCTGTTTCCACTGACTTCATGTACTTGTTTAGGATGGCAAAAATCTCGTTGTTCAGGATCTGATACTTCCTGATCCTGTCGGCCATCTTCTTCAAGGGCTGGAGGGATGGTGGGGGAGAAAAACAGCAAATGAAGAATCTTATGCAGGAGGTAGCAGTACCTCTGACCTGCTGCTGGAAACCTCTGCTAAAGCAAAGCAGCTCTAACACGTGTTACTGTTCCACTTAGCACTTCCCAGGCACCGGGGACTCGCTTCATCACAGGGTTTGATGACTCAAGCCAGAGCATTAACAAGATCAGTGAGTGGTCCTAAGTTAACTGTTCCAAAGTCTGGACTCCCAGCTGCTTATTGATAAAGCCACCAAGATCACAAGATGGTTGCTGGAAATACCATCTCCTCGGATCCTGCTTCCCAACCCCAGGAAGAAAAGGAAAGCTTTGGGAGAAAAAAAGATTTGATTTTCAAGCCAATTAAAACCTTGGCCTCTCTGCTGAGACTGCAGCTGGAAACTTTAGGGTGAATGTGTCCAGTTTAATAAGATTAACACTGGGCATGGTGTAATTGATGAGTTTGGACAAAGCAAGATAGAAAACAGAGGAGTGTGCTAGATCATGTCCTTTGGGACCTCACCCTTCAACTTACCACGTTTTTTATGATTTCATCCTTCCCATCCTGCCTCTGCACCTTCAGCAGGTGGTAGCAGAAATCAAAGAGGTCAAAGCGCCGTTGCTGTCCAAGGAGAACAATAATAGAGCAACCAGCCCAGTTCAGACCATCTCCAAAGCACTGCCTGGAAGGAGGACAGGGAGATGGGGTGGGGAGAGATAACAGGATAGAGTCAGACAAGAGAAGTACCATGGCACCAGGAACTTTCCTTGGTGAATTCCTAGGGAAATCAGGTTCAGTCCTGCTCCTAGAAAGTGGGTGTACACCTAGAGAAACTGAACTCAGAGATGTGCAGAAGTACACCCAGGCCGTGCTGTGCAGGGTGAACCACAGGGTAAGATGGGTGAGGACCTAGTCTTGGGTTGTTGGCCCATTTACCCATCTCCTTTGGGCACGTCCCTTTACCTTGCTCTTTTCTCCAGCTGTTCTGATAGAAGAGCTCTCTGAGCATCAGTTTATATCCGCACACAACAACGTCAAGGACCCACGTTCCCCCTCTACCTCCACAGTGGCCGAGGCTGTCCCTGCAGCTGAGGCCCCTGGACACTCACTCTGCGGTGAACTCGTTGGTGCCCACGGGGATGCAGTACACGAACTGCATGGCGCTCCAGAGCCGGTGGAACTCCACGCACTCGTCCACGTGCATGACCCCGTTGGTGGGGGGCGGCCCGCGCCAGATGGGGTCCTGCAGGTAGCTCCGGATCCGCGTCAGGATCACCTCGAACATGGACAGCCCGCAGCACAGCCGCTCCTTGGTCAGCAGGTCGCCCTCCCGGGCAATGGCTATTTGCTGGGGAGGAGGACAACCAGAGGAACAGGAGTGATGATGTGGCACGGACGGACCCCCTCGCGGGACTTAACGCTTCCTGGTCTCTCCCCGGCTCTTTCAAAGTTAACACGGACCCCACGGAAGGTCCAGCCTTACCTCTGATGGCTGCTCCCATGGCACTTCCCACCAGAGAATACTCATCCCTCAAACTGAAGCAGACTTAATGTTGTGCTCAGTTATATTTTACCAACCTCAGTATCTTTTGGAGTAACTATGTACGTCAGAAAACGAAAGGTGAAGGCAAAGCTCTGATCAGAAATACTGATCCTTAATTCTGCTAGCATGCTGTTCTGTTCTATTAGTGCTACTCAGCGTTGCTGGGTTTCATGTCACCATTTCCGCAGATTATGAAAATAAAACAGGAGAGAACAGGGACATTTTGCTTCCCAGGACATTGCCATCATCTCTTTAAAATGTAGATAGCCCATGGCTTACTTGATTTCTTTTGTAGTTAGGGTTAAAAAGCTCTGAGCAAGATGAGAAGCCACTGGAACCTTAATACTGGAAAACCTGTGGTTTATAAGAAAGTCAGATAATACTTTTTCCAGATGTGGAAGCTTTACATGTACGGACAATTTCTGTGACATCCCTGCTCAGATTTAGATATACCAATCTGTAATGGCTCCACTGGATGGAGTTATTTTGGCTTTTACGCTAAAGGAAAATGAAAACAGAATCAACTTCATTTCATCTCCATTGCTCCCCCAGAATAAAAAAAAAAGGGGGATTTTAAATAAGCAAGCAGGGGCTACCCCCAGGAGCAGTGACCCCCCCCCCCAAGCTCTGTGAGTGGGGCTGTGGTGCAAGCATGGGGGTCACTCACTGCCCTGGTATCCTCTCAGCTGCCCCATTTATTGCTGTCCCAGAAGCACGACTGACTTCTGTTTGCAGGGCTGCCAACAATAACATGGGAAATGGGGGCTGAGTGCTGTCAGAGCTGTGGCTGTGGGAAGCTCCAGCTCTGCCGTGCTCACCCCGGCAGATGAGAGGCTGCCCCGGCCCCACAGGCAGAGCCTTTTACCCCTCACCACTTTGGCAGAGACACGCAGAGCAAGCAATTTTTACCGAGACCCTGCATGTCCTACAGGACTTCCTGAAGCCTTAAGTAGTTTTTAAGTATTTGCTCCGTTTCCAGCTGTCACTGTAATGCCTATGAAAATATTATCCCAATCAGAGTCACGATGGGGACTCAGAGCAGCTGGGACAAAGGGCAGGGACATGTCCTGGCCAGACGTTAAGAACATGAATTATGCTCCGTTTACTTGGGTCATCTTCAATCCACTATGAAAAATTCATGAGTGTTGCCTGCACAACCCCCTTCCTGACTATTAGTTTATGCTGGAAGTAACCTAAAGCAATTTTAGTTTGGTGGCTCTTGAAATTAAAAGCATTACAATTCTTGCTTGTGTCACAATTTCAAGGATGTTCTGGGAACCTCCACTCAATTAATGTTCAACTAATAGCAAATATCATGGGAAAGCTGTATTAGTGTGCAGAGGCCAGATAGGGTCCGAGATCCCTAAATCTGTTTGACTCAGGAATGATATCACCAGTTCCATGGCACACACCTGCATGTGTTTGCTTAGCAAGTAAAGATTTATTTTATCCAGCTTTTTGATAGCTAAATGCTGTACACTTTCCCTCTCCTCACCTGTTCCAGGCTCTTATGGGTACAGATCTGCAGACACCAGTCTATCAGGGCAAAATGAGGACACAGTAGAAGTAGAGCCATTTCAAATGTAAATTAGGTGTTAGCACTACTGTTTGCCAAGAAACAGTGATAAAAGAGGTACTTTGGAGAACAAACTTCTCCAGTGATCTTAGTACACTGTTTCTGAAGAAGTCCTAATTTACAAAGGGATGCATCTGGCTTACACAGCAGGTAGTGCCATCAGTTATGCACATTTGCAGACAGAATTTGGTTCTAAAATTCATCACAATAAGAACAGTCTTTGATACAGGACTACCATCCTTGGGTAAATATCTAATATGGGGAAGGCAGCTGGAGAGCTGCTGACCTTGTGGTCAGCGCTGCCTCACAGTCTGGGGTCCCACTGATTTCTAAGATCAGGAGAGGAAGGATGCTCTCAAGGTAAACTATCAAAGGATGCCACTGTGCTAGCTCAGCTATTCCCTCTGTCTTCAGAAGGAAAGGCTCCTGTTACTTCCAGTGAAAAAAACAGACTGACCAGGCAAGGATTTGAAAATCCCTTACTAAATACTCCTGTGGTCAGTATTAAGAGGGAGAGGATTCCCTTAATGAACCACTTTGACCCCCCTGGTTCTTTATGAATGACCCATCAAACTGCTGCTTCGGGACTCCCAATGTAAAGTAATTATTTACAAGAATCACTGACAGTTTTCCTGCCATTGCACAAAATCACTTTTGATTTTCCAGTTTTTGAACCTCTTTTACAGCCCTTTAACTGGTGAGCTTGCCAGAACCCTGCCCAAAACCTGCAAAGATTGGTACATGCCCACTAATTCTGGCTCAGCCCCTTCACAGCACGGAATTCTATGAAATGCAAAGGGCCACCTTTTGGGAGAGGCATCTAGAAGGCAATGTCTGCTCAGATTCTGAACAATTGCTAAAATGCATTTATGCATTCTGCAGGAAATATCCCATATGGCCTGTGTCCAAAACTGCATTTCCAAAATGCATGTCCAAAACTGCATAAGGAGCAAGCTTAGAAGCTATGGAGGCACCTATAGAAAGCGATTCTTGTGTTCATTTACATTTGAGCTCAAAAAAAAATATAAAAATCTGGTACCCAACTGTGCCTGTGTGATGAACATGGGAACAGTTTACAGAAATATTGTATTTTAGTTGGAAATGAAGTACCTTTTGTTTTCATCACCATTATAATTATGGCAGGGATAAGCAACGAGTGACTTTAATAGCAGATTTCAATGATGATTTTGCATGGAAAGAAGGAAAGATAGAAAGACCAACACAAAGACACAAAAACACAGAGGTGAATTCTTTTTCTCGAGTGTCTCCTTTAAAAGGAAGTGTCTACAAAGTAAGACAAAGCCCTCAGTTATCCAGCCAATTTCTTTGCTAGAGATGATTTCCAATGATGCAAAGTTCAAAATATCCTTGATTCATCAGAAAAAAAAAAAAAAGAGAAAAAAATCAGCAACCTTCTGCCTGCCATAGATCTGTCACCTCATACAGCTGAGTGCCCATTCCAGTCCCTCATCAGTACATTACAGAAAAAGGGTGTTGGTTCATTTGATACTCTAAATGTTTTCTACCCCATCAATCCCATTAAGTGGGCACTGGATGTTTGGTTATTGCTATCGGTGGAGCTCAAGTTTTGCCCATTACATTGATCAGTCTATGGACATATTTTAAACCATACTCAGTTTCTGCACAAGGGACGTTTCCCAAGCTGAGACCCACGTCAGGAAGATACTTTAATGGAGCCATCATTTTAAGCATGTGCTGAAGCTCTAAGCATGTGCTAGGAGGGAAACCATTCTCAGACGTACTCCGTGACAGGGATAAGCTTAAAAATGGACCAAGCTGCAGCCCTAAAATGGGAACCCCAAAAGTGATGGCAATTGATTAAGTTAGGGACAGCCCTGCAAAGTTTCCCCTCAAACCACTCCAGCAATTCTCCATCATTTTAAAACGGAGAAGGAGAGTTTTTCAGAGTTGTTCTGATTCAGAGCTGGCTTCTAGCACACTTGCCTTACAGCTCCCTGCCAGGTCTCCTGACCAGAGGCAGCAGCACAACATCTCTGGACCCGCTCACAAATTTCCCTTCAAGGCGCCTGCGAGGGCAAGGATTCAGATTTGCTTGTCCAGTTGACGTTTTGGGGGGAAAAAAAAAAAAAATCAATGAAAAAGAAAAGGATCACTTTCCCAAGGCCAAACAGGCCGTCTGGGGACTGCTACGAGTTTTCAACAGCCATCCCTTTCAATGAAATCCTTACCTGCGGAGTGCCCAGCCTCTCTATTAAGGGAACCAGGTGAAGTGGGGCATACTTGGCTTCGAGACGCTTCATGCGCACCTCCAAGCGTTCTCCTTCTGTCAAGCGAGCAGCAAACAGTGAAATGAGAGGAGGAAGTGGAGACCCGCAATTTCCGCCGAGTTTGCTCAGAGCTGCCCCCCAGCAACCATCCGAGGAGACCGTGGATCAGGGAGCCAAACCGACAGCAATGAGGGCACCAGTGATGCAGAGAAGGGAGGGAGGGATGTGCGATTGCAGTCTCAGCAGCAGCTTTATCACACATGTCCAAAAGCATGTCCCTGCTACCGATCGCTCCTGCTGGGATGGACATTTCATGCTGTCATTCTCCAGAGAGGCTGTGAAATGGCTTTATACCTGAAGGGATCCCCCAAACTGACTGAGGTTTCAGGCTGCAGGAAAGGCACCCTTAGCTTTTGTTTGCACCTGATGTTTGGCTGTATTCACCTATCTATTTGGAGGGGGAAACAGGGAACTAGAACTAATCCTCAGCAGAAATGGGAGAGAACCAGCTTCTGGGCAGAGACCTCTGAGTCTGCCCACTGCTTCCCTCTCAGCTTCTTACCTTTGATGTAGACCCTGGGCAAAATATTTTGGAAGGGAGCAGCATGCAGCAAATCACAAACTTCTTCCTGGGACTGAGGCAGGAAGAAAGAAAGATAAAGTAAGTTAAAAAATACCTGCAGGGGATTCGTGAATGGCTCAGGGACCTGGGCAACACTACAACAGTTCATGCCTACAGCACCTATTCAAATCCAACCCAGCTCAGTAGCAACTCCAACAGTTTGAACCTAAATGAACTAAAACTGGAAGAAATACCTCAGCTTAAGACAGGAAGCTTCCCTAACTAACTCAAATAAGTTAGTTCCTGCCTGTACAAGGCCAGATCTTTATATTTATTTTCTGTCCTATTTACTAGCACTGCAGGCAAGGAGGGGGATAAAGAACATGGAGGTTTCAGTTTCATCTTACCCTGATGAATTCCTGCTGTCTGTTCTTACAGAGAGTGGCCAGGTGGAAATTACCCTTTGGCTTAGTTATTTTAGGAAGTGTCCATGTAAAATATAGTGATGTGTGGCTCTACTGCAAATAGGTACATCACACATTGGTCTGAAATGATTTGTTTCTTCGTATGGTGTTCTCAGCCAGGGCTATCAGAATCCCAGTGGTGCGGGCACCAGGGAGAATAAAACAGAAGTCCAGAGAGGAATAACATCATGAGATGCCACCTGAGGGGATGCATGCCAATGCACTTGAGAAAAAAATAATCCCAAACACAGATGCACAAGGAGGAGAAACCTAGAAATAGGCAGGTGGAGACTGAGGAGCGATGGCTGACAGTACATTGTATACGAGTCTGCAATGGGAAACAGCAGCAAGGAAACCAAAGCTGTTTAACACAGAGGCGCCGCGTCACGACAAGGCATCGGTCTGCTCCTACAAAAGCCTAGCCCTAGGACATGCTTCCAGTTCTGAGCTTGTTGTAGAGATGTAGACACACTCGAAAGCGGATCATGACAGCGCAGCAAAAGGTATCTGGGGGCCAGATGGAATGACTCGGCTGGGTCTGCTGGGGATGCAGGGGGGGATTCCCCACCTTCCAGCCAAGAGCACAGTCTAGCATGGAGCTGCAGGAGGCTGTACTGGCGCATGGATGCCGGGATGAGAGCAAGTTTGTGGGAGTGCAGTTTGTGACACAGTGCTGGAGGGACAGGAACAGTCTGGGGCCCCTCCATGGGCAGAGAGACGCTGGTGCTAACAGAGTGGGCCTATCCCCTTAGTTATTTTGTTTGTAAAACACTATTCATTCCTAGATGAATGTTCTTCCACTGCTGTTTCCCCTCTGATAAAGAGAGTATTTTCAGCATTTGCAGCCTGCATTCATCTGATATCTGTCCCAAAATTAGTCATGCTATTAAGAGAGCTCTTCCCCAAGGCCCAGTAACTGAGAGTACAAATTCTGCCTCGAAATTTAGTCCCAAGCAACCCCTCATTAATAAAAAGGGGTGAAATGGGACAGACTGGGCATCTGCACTAGAGCAGTTTTTGCCAGCAATTACTACCAGCCTTAGATCACTCAGACAGCTCTGAAGGTAACTGCACCATAAAAGCAATTCCTCCTGCTGCACAAGAGCTCCATTAGAGGAAAAATCTTGTTCTGTGATGGCTCTATGAATCTGACACCTTCCAGCAAGTAGGAACCAGTGCAGCTGCATGCAAAATGGCTTTATATTCTGAATATCCCTTCTGTGAAGAGATACAGGGAATCAGAGAGGGAGAGACTTTTTTTGAGGGCAAAAAGTGGGCAGATGTGGACTTGGATGGGCAGTCTTCCTAAAGGGATCCCCAAATTCCCACTGCCCTTGCTTTATTTTCTGCTATTCTAAAATGCCAGTACAGTGCTGATGCTCACTGAATGTATTTGATACATCACATCAGGAACTAAAAGTCTCTTGATCTGGAGTTAAAATGCAAAGGCAAGGGCAGAAATATATATATTTTGAGGACATGCAGAGACTTTCAGTTTTTCCTGTGGTCTGTGGCTGGAAAAAACTTGGAATCTTTTAATTTCCTTTTGGGTTTGCTCTTATGTTAGGGAACTCTACCTTAAATAACCCTGCCAAAACCATTATGACATAAAATATGCATATTTCATGTAAAATTGTGTTGTTGAACACTCCCCAGTTGGCTCTAGGCCAAACTACGAGGTAAATTCATTACAAAGTAAATTTATTGTGCGAAAAGCTAGAAGGTAAGAAGATGAGTGGCACTCAGCCACAGCCTTTGCCCCAACTATAAAGGGCATCACATGAGCTGAGAGGCTGAGAGACTACTGCATGTGCAAAACACCTGTGCAGGGGCAATACAGAGTTGTCACTCCAGCTATTTTCAGTGAGGATGTCATAGGAAATACATCATCAGCTCTTCTCAGATTTCCTTCCTGTTGGGTTGCTTTAACCACATCACCATTAGAATCAATCAGGTTGTTTTCATTGCACTGGCACCCTAAAAAAAGCAAAGGGCTCAAATCTACTTCTCAGTGTACAAAAGTCATGTATAAAAAAAATATTGATCCCTGCCCCAAAGAGCTCACAATCTAGAAATAAACTCCAGTTGGTTTTATTTCTGAGAAGGATGAGCAAGGGATAGCTTTGGGTCCAAAAATTAAATTTAGATCTTCCAGTATTCAGATTCTCCTTCAGCAATCCCAGAGGCCTGACCAAGTGCCAGTACACACCATCCCCATGGACATGCCCAAAGACTCCAGTAATACAGCCCCAGAGAGACCTTGAAAACACAAGAAGCTGGAAAGTGACATTTCCCAAACTCTTCTGCTGGAGAACCCACTTCCACTTATACTCTTGAGCTGGAAATCTCAAGTATGATGTGTTGGTGCAGGGGGTTTTGCCTTACCAAAGCCTGCTCGATAAGGAGGCAGAAGAGAATGGCATTGCCCACTTCTCTGAGGCTCTGGAACACATCGGTCTTCAGCTCTGCATACTCAATGATGTCCTTCAGCTGATGGTGGAAAAACTCCAGGATTCCTTAAAAGACAAGGAAGGACAGTCAGAAAGAGGGCAGAATCATCCTCTGGTAGCTTGGGTAAAAAGGCAATTAGTGCCTGATAATTCCTTAGGCACAGATTGCAAGCTGCAAGTGCTAAACGGATACACAGAGACTGGCACTGGGAAGAACTAACATGCAGTGTCTCATCCTGCTTTCAGTAACCCTTGGAAAATAGGGAGTAATTCATATAAATTCCTTGGATTTGCACATCAGAGGAAAAAAGAAGTTTGAGACTAATGGATGACTTGGTGCCAGCTCATGCAATACCAGCCAGAGTTTCTGACTGCAGACATGCTGCAAAAGTCTTTGCACCAGCTAAGCAGAGCGTTTGAAAAATACCAATAAGAAACAATATAACAAAAACATATACATGTAAACAATAACAAAAGCTTACAAAATCCTGAAAACAAAACAGAAGCTACCAGAAGACATTCCCTCATCCGTGTGTTCAAAAGGAAATCCTCAGCAGGAGGTTTCCTGGAGAAGTTTCCTACACGTGTTCCAGTGTCAGTGGCAAAGCAGCTGAAAGTGTCCCAGCAAAGCCTGGCTGCTGTCACGTGCCTGGCCTGGTTTAACTATTAGTGTGGGCCTGAGTAAATGCTGCACCAACACGCTGGTGAGCTCTTGCTCAAGCATCCCTCTGCAGCACCCACCTGGAGAGCCATACTCATGTCTTGGCAAGCGGCATATCTTGGGCATTACTTCGATCAGAGTCTTCACGTACTGCAGGATGGTGCCCTGGAGCTGTTGGAGACAAAGGGAGGTTAAACAGGAATGATGGGTCTCCTGGCATTGGTTTTGAAAGAGGCTGGTTGAGGTTGGGTCCACATCTGACAGCACAGGATGAAACCTCAGCGGGAGTTCGAGAAGAACTTGCCTAATTTGGATTTCACTCAAATATAAAATTCAGCCCAAGTGTATGGAGTCAGAGAGCTTTTATAGCTTCCTCACAAAGAGTAAATCACAGCTGCATGGATTTTCGAATTCAAAATACAGCTTGCTGTGTTTGCACTGTTTGCAGCTGAAATCCAAACAAGGCTCAGTCTTCAATCCAGCTGGACTTGTGCTCCTAAACCAAAAAGCATTTTACCAGAGCTTCCAAAGGAGTCCTTCCCCAGCACAGGAAATGCTCCTTCCACCTGAGGAATAACACTGGATACTCAGTTTAATAAAGACTTAACATTCATGTAGAACAAGTTTCTGCGTTTTCTCTAATATGGATTAGAGCAAAGCACATTTCTTAGTTTAAAGCACTTGCTGACATTTGGAGTCACACACCTGCATCCTGTAGATACATTATCTGGGATTAGGGGCTAAACTCTATTTAGTCAAACATAAAATCTTTGTGCTGAACACTGTCTGATCCTGGTGGAAACACTCCATCATCCCACAGGAATCAGTGGGATTCCTCAGCAATGGTGAAAATCAGACAGACTGTGGCTACAAGTGTTTCATCGTGGATCAAGGGACATGAAGGCACCCAGATGTGAACACCCTGAGCCCAAAGCCCACACCAACTGTCCTGCCTGGACCTATCAAGGCTTTGGGGTTTCTCCATCACCAGGGTCAGGCTCAGAATTACCAGGCTCTTGACGATCTTCAGCAGCTCCTCCATGACCACTGCGATGCCCTGGTAGCCAAGAAGGCGGCAGATTGTCTTGAAATGAGGTGGCCCCACAAAATTGCGGTAGGAGCTGTAGATGTGACTGTAGGCAATGTTGAGAGGCTGAGAAATTAGAAGCACAATGACAGTTACAAAGCAGCAGTGACCAGACCTGTAAGTAATTCTCTTATCACAGTATTATGTTCCATCACTTCAAATAATTTTTAAGGAAGAGAAGGAGAAATAATAAAACCCACGACAATTTCCATTTCTACTTCTTGTGGCAAAGAGGAGATTGCTTTTCTTCCTATGTAGTCAGATATATTCTAATCTCAACACACTGTCATGTCACAAGGTTTATTATCCTACTCTGTAGTAACAGCACTTTCATTTCCAAGTTAATTTACTCTCCCATACATTCCCAATCAAGTATTTCAGTTCAGTGGCCCTTTGCCTCTTCAAAACCGAATTCTTCTCTACTAAAATGAAAACCTTTTTAAGCAGACAGACTTTTTTTTCCCTATGGGCACTTCCTTTAAATGAGGCTTATTAAGAAAAGCAGGAACTGCAGCCACTGAGTTCAAGGGCAGCTGGAAGGGACATAGAAAAGATCTTTTTTGCATTCTGCAAAACTCTACATCAGCCTCTACTTAATAGACACCCCCATGGGTCTGTGACAAGGGTAAGAATCTAACCCTGGTCTAGGGAGAGCTGTACTCAGGGCACTGGCTCCTGGAAGTTTTTAGCGGCAGAGAACAAAAAGTGATTTCCAGGAATGTACCCTATCGGTGTCATCTTGGAAACGTGGAAATTGCTGTAATGATTTATCACTGGAACATTTACAGCATCCTTTTGGCGAGTGAAACAGAAGTAGGGGGAATTAATTCACTTGTGTGATCTGCAAGAAGAAGTACTGAAAATCAGATTTAGCTGAGACACCATATGCTCAGTGAGGGCTCTGCTACAGTGTTGGCATCACAATTCAGCCCAGGAGAGAAGGGCTGCACTCTCCCTCCGTGTCCCTCCATGACATCTCCAACTGCAGCCTCAGCGAGTAGCAAAAATGCAATTCTTGAAAAGATTCTTGCACGTAGTGCCCCTTCCAGCAAAACACAGATAAACCCCTGGCTCATGCTTATCAAAAGATCTTTCTCAAACAAGGGTAAGAAAACAAATTAAAACTATCCCTGTGGATATTTTGGACTCCACTCTACAGGGATCCCCTGCCCTGCCAGTAACAGAGCAAAGGGAGTGCTGGGATCAAGGCACTGAGGAGGTTTGGGTGAAAGGGAGCAAAGGCTGAAGCAGCACAACAGAGCAAAATATTGTCTGTGCTTCACCCCTGCAGCAAGACAGTGGCTGAAGGCTCCAGTTGTCCTCCAATTCTGACTCACTTCCACAAGGTTTACTTTTAACACCTCATCTGAGCTACTAATGACTTACAAAGCAAAGTCATTTGCTAGGAATTGGAAAAGCATTTTCTTCTGCTCTCAGCTACAGCATTCAGCAGACTGATGTACTGACCAGGCTTTCACAGACTTGTCAGATGCTTTAATCAATTAATTTTCACTCATTTTGTTACAGCTCCATTGCTCTGGTCCAGCAGCTCGTTGCCTGCTGTAATTCCTTGGTGCTCTTTGAACTAGCAGAAAGAAGCACAGTTAGAAAATCCCCTATTTTCCATGAAATATAATTTCTCCTCCTGTTCCTGGTAGGTGAAAACAGACTTTTAATACTATTAAGTATAGAAAATCTGCCTTGGGGGCTCATTCACAACGAGCATGAACTTTCTCTCCCATTAAAACTGAAAAAAAGGGCCCTGAGTGAGCATGAGCCAGAGTTTAACAATTATTTAGGCAGACAGAAGCCTACTTTCAAAACTCCTTAGATGCCAACTCCTGTTCAGAGAATGGAATTTGAGCATCCTACTTAGTGTTCTGTCTGCATTCTCAGATAACCAAGTCTTAAAAAACCTGTCTGGTAGAGACAGATCCAAAGCCACTAGTCACACACCCTGATGCATCAGAAAAACAGCAACGGTTAATGTTTTGAAAAGTGTGTCTGTTTAAACACCAGGTAACACCCAGCCTGGAATATTTGCCAAATGGCCAACAGACCATCCCAGAGGGAAGTCAGTGCCCCAGGGCCCCAGCCCAGCCATGTTCCCACACCTTGTGCTGTTTAGGCTTTTGCAAAGCACTGTCCCTGCTCCAGGTGTCCCCAGAAACTGCTGTGCTGCAGGGATGATCCAAGTGGCTCTGAGATGGCTCCTTGCACTTTCTTTCCCTGTCTCCCTGTAGGCTCCTTTAGCCTATTATATCCCCAGGCTTAGCACACCAGGGCTAGAGGGGAACAAAATATCCCCATTTCAGTGGGCTTATGAATCCACACTCATTTCTGGAAGCCTCTTTGCTACTCCAGAGCCAGCAGACAGGACTTCTGTCTGTGCACCAGCCTCGGTCCCCTGAGATGGGCCACCACCACCAGTACCCAGTTGTAGTGCAGCTGGTCAGGTTTTCCCCACAATGGGGCTGATATTTTACTGCTCGGGCAGCGAGTGGCCAGTGCTGCTGCACAGCCACCCACCTCACAGCACTTCCTTCCCTCTCAGTGGGATAATGGGGCTGGAGAGCAGCTCTCAACTGGGCTTTTCCCTCAAGTGGGGGTCTCAGCAATTAGCCTGATGGGGAGAAGACACATTTTAGGATGTGCATTGGCTGCAGATGAGCAGGATGATTCATCCCTGCCTGTCTGCGGGATGAGGTAGGTTCATCGAGCTCTCTGCAGAGCCACACAGCACACGAACAGCAGGCTTGCATCTAATAATAATACCCTGCCAGCAATTAAAAATATAACTCCATTTAAGGGTGAGATACACAGCTTGGGGTAAAGACTGTAGGATGTAAAAAATGACACCAGTGGGTATTTTAAGAGAAAACAGCTGAAGGTACATGGCACAGCTCACTCCCCCACGCTGGGTGGCCGCTTCCAACCCCTTGGAGACACAAAGCAAAGCTCTGATCCTGAGGCCTCTTGGGATCAGCAGCTGCTGAAGGCACTGGGGAGGTTTGCCCCAACTTTGGTTTGGGGCCAAATGGGCAGGTTTTGGGGACGGGAGGCTGGGAGTGCAGTGTCCTGCAGAGCCCAGGTATCCCACCCTGTACCCAGGTCTCATGGACAGCCATCTGTAATTGTAAGCACGTGGGGAAGGCCCCTGCATTGCTTTGAAAGATCAGAAGGTTACTAGGGATGCTCCAGAGCAGATTTAGTAGCAAATGAAGCAAATTAAAACCCAGTTCTACTTCCAAATCTTTGAGCTTGTTGTTGACCATCACCCAGAGCTGTCTGAGCTCACCTGAGAAAAGGCAGGGTGAGTTTTAGCTGATAAAATAGATCAGAGAGAGATAATAAACAGTACTGTTCTAGAATTCCCTTGGAAAAACGAAAAGCTAATGAAAGAGAGATACAGAGACAAAAAAGGACTTGCACACAGCCCAGGACTAGTCAGGGCTCCCAGCCAACCTAACTGCAGTGTGACAGCTGAAATGGTGTCTTAGAAAGTAAAAAACAATTCTGACCAGAATTGCCAGAGGAGGGTCTCTAATCAGACAGCCTGAATATGGCCTGGTTCCTTCCCCTGCCACAAGCAACCTTCACTCCCCTCGAGTTTTTACCATATTTGGCTGTATCAGCTGGTTGCTGAGACGTTCATGCAAAAAACCCCACGTATTTTCCAGCTGGGATGGACAGGACATGGAAGCTGGGTAGCACAGCCCAGGAGGTGGCTTGGAGGGGATCAGCAGCCCCTGCCACCAACACCTCCTGCAGCTCCCTCACACCTCTGGGCTGCTGTTGCAGACATGGCAGCAGAAAACAGAGCGACTCCATCCTGTTCACATACCATGGCTATTGTTACAAGCAGCAGCAGGATGCACACATTACATCTGCCTACACACTTAGGGGAGCAAGTTCAACCAGGGAAAGGGAAACAGGGATTTCCAGTGATTCTGGTGTGACCCTGCATCCAGCAGTGCCAAGAAAAACATAAGCACTCATGAAAATACATAAACGAAGCCCAATCTAAACCATTTACAGAGCAAAGAAGTGGTTAGCGAGCAGTAAATAGTGGGTTGATGGTAGTTTTGCAGCTTCTTTGTTAGAGGCTTGGCAACCTGCTGTGTTTATAAGTGGCTGAATGACAGATAATGACTCAGTCTCTGCTGGCCACTGGAGTGCCCACGGTTTGCATCCTGTGATGAGGAAGGAGACATCCTAGGCAGGGTCATAGATGGGTCCACCTGCAGATATGGGAAACATCAGTGCTGGAGCAGTCCTGGCACTGGCAAGGTTTTAGCTGGGAAATGAGAATTTCAAGCTAATCACTGGTGCAAGCTTGATTTTGGGAGCAGGTAATCCCAACACCTCTGAAAGCTTTGCTGTAGTTCCCTTGGCAAGCAGTATCAACCACGGTGTGCAGAAAGGTCAGCAGGACCCTTAGCTGGCTAATCCAGCTATTCCCATTCTCCTTGACCTCCTCTCCTCCTGCTAATGCATCTCATTTGTGAACTGACATTTACTTTCAAAGCAGCTGTGATCACTGATAAACTCAGCCACCCAAATGCCATAAAGAAATGGTTATCCCATGAAAATTCTACCATCTTCTGTAATCCACCTTTCTGAAGCTGGGATTTGTATCCTCAGCTCTCTCCCTGCAGGCAAAGATGTAATTTACTCACAGCATGGACCCAGCTAAGAGGTGCCTATCCCCCTGCTCTTGTAAGCAGGACCAAACTAAAGGCAGGAAGCCACCTGGGAGCACTTTCATTTCCATCCCTGCCCATAATTATTTTCATCCCTGCTCCCAGTTTTCAGCTCGCTGGCAGATGCAGCTCAGCTTCTCTCACAGAGACAGAATGGAATACAGATCTTGAAAGACAAAACCATCCAGAACTGTGAAATGTCAATCAAAAGCAAGGGTCACACATACTCCCCAGCCTGTAATAGCCCCTCCTGATGCAGTTTGCATTACCTATTGGTATCTAGAAGATCTCTGAAAAGTTGCAAGAACCTTTTCAATAATGACATGAGTAACTCCAGAACCAGAACCAACATTTCTTTTGGGAAAGTTCCTCCCGAGCACATTTTGGCTTTGGAGAGCAGTGAGATACTTGTTCAGAGCCTCTCCTTACCATGCCCTGTGACACATTTGTCCCCTCCCGGCCACACACTCGAGCTGCTCTCCTGAACACTGCTGGCATTGGCTTTGCCTCTTCCTCGCCCTCTCACCAGACTGACAGGGGACATCCCCAGGTTGTCTGTAAGTCAGGGACATCCAAAGAAGAGCCTGTCTTTAATCCCACATAGTCCATCAGGAGGTCGAGGTCTTTGAAAACCCAGTTCCTACTCCCATCACAGTCTGGAAAACATTAAAAAGCTATGGGACGTTGCTGCACTATCAGGGATCAAAATCTACTGCTTGCTGGCTTTGGCTTAAATCAGTAGTTTAAATGTGCAAGAAATCATAGAATTAAAGACTAAGTCCCTGAGTCAATGTGTACCACAGGCCAGGCTCCCAGATTTCACACGGTGTGTCAGTGTGCCTGTAACCCAGACCTTGCTGTGGGGCAGTGACAGTCTTGCTGAGGAAAAAAAGAAAACCCAAACAAACCAGCAAACAACACTACCTGCCTTTTTTTTTTTTGAGTCTGCCTCAAAAACACATACTTCTCCCAGGCAGAAGCTTTTAGGGATAACATTCCCAAATCACTCAAAGATGCCTGCCCATCCTTTCTTGCTGGTTGCCATGGTGAGAGATGACGGAGCCCCAGACGGATATAATACAAGGCAGCGCGTGGGGAAGGGATTCAGCAGAGGCAGGAGAGAGGAGAGTGGTGGGAAGAGGGGAAGGCACTGCCGGCCCGAGGCCACTCTGTCACCAGCACCGACAGGCACCACGGACCCGCCAGGGAGGTAAGTGCCTGCCTGCGGTTCTGGGAGGGCTCGGTGATGGAAACATGTGCTGCTCACCCCCTCATGTAAGAACGGTCAGAGCAGTTGTTGTTAAGTTGTTAAGCTCTTTGAATGACTAAAGGAAAGTTAGTTATTGTCAAAGAACAGAGGAAGAAGGAAAAAAACCGAACCAGCTCTATTTCATGCAGCTGCTGCTCTGAGCGCTTGGCTGGTTGGGAGAGAGAACCAACGGGGGGCTCAGAGAGCACTTTGGGGATCTAAAGGAGTGATGTGCTCAAGTGATTTGTGGCTGTTGCTAAACAGTGATTTGTTACTGCTGGGGGAGAGCTTTGTTCTTGTATTTCATATATTTGTATTTCCCTAAAAGCGCTGATTTTATATGTCACTAACCTACAGATTTCACATTTAAGATCCTGATATTACAGTGAGACATGCTGCAGGAACAGAAAGAGAAACTCTATTAAGCAACAAGTAAGGTACAAAAAATGCAGCAGCCACTTAAACCAGTAGATTAACCATAATGAAGCTTTTTAAATGGCATTTAAGTGTAAAATCAAAATATCTATTGATTGGCAGCTTCACGAAGCAAGTTGGAGCTAGTTTAATGATCACTTTATGTTAATCACATTTGCAGCATCCTTTCTATTTCATGGGAAATGAAAAAGCTAAAAAATGCTTCTGATATAGACAAGCAGTCAGAGATTTTTTAAAAATCTAACTAAAGTATATCTTATGCCCCAACTGGGGGTTTTCTGTTGTTATGAAGCAGGGTGATACAGTAGTCTGGGCAACAGCAGGATTTATCTTTTGTAATTTTAGCCATCCAAGACCTAGCATCTAACCTAAGTGAGCCAGGATAGTCCTGAATCCAATTTTAGGGCCAGTAAACCCAGGGGAAAGACTTCACTGGTGTCAGTGGCCTTTGAGCCTGTACATGAATCAGGAAACTCAGCCTCTGCCTGCATCTGGTTTCAGGGGCACGATGAACATCGAAGTGCACAACATCACTTACACCAGCGCCACGGTCTCCTGGGCCATGAACAACCCCTGTCCAGAGAACTACTACCACGTCATGTACCGCCCCAACTGGAACAGCGTCTTTGCCGGCTATTTACGCCAGAACTTCCACCGCGAGGAGCGAGTTCCTCACCCCCTCAGCTCCCTCGTCCTGCACCGGCTCACGCCATCCACCATCTACGTCCTCTGCATCACGTGCAAAAACTCTTACCCCTCCAGCAACCACTGCACCACCTTCCACACTCTGGACAAAATCCCCCTGGTTTTCGGCGGCTCTAAGCACGAACCCAGCACCTCCATGTGGATGGTGAGCAGCCTGCTGCTCCTCTGCTTCCTCGCTCTCCTGGCCTACGGCTGCCTGCAGTTCTGGTCTGCACGGTGCCACCAGGCTGCCAGGCTGAAGCATCCCGACACCAGCCCTGAAGAAGTGGTCGAAGGAAGCAGCTCACCCGAGGAGCCCCTGAATGATGGACTGAGGGAGGAGCTTCTGGAGGTCCCCATGACCACTGTGCTGATGAGGAGCTCCAATTTCATGAGGGAGAGTCCCTATAGCTCCCCTCACTGCTTTTTTTCCTATAAAAACAGCGATGATAAAAGGGCCATCTTGCCACAGCATGGCCTTCAGTGAGAGCAAAATAAAACAAGATCCTGTTTAGAGGTTTGGTTCATCCTCTCCTTCCCAGCTCTTGCCAAGAGGACTGTCCGTGTATCCATGGCAGCTGTCTGTCCCAGGGTAGAACACAAGGCACAGACAGTGGTTGCAGGGGGAAAGATTTTTGTCAAGTGTGAAAATATTGTCATCTGCTGAGAATTTTTAAAAAGAATCCAAGTCAGCTCTCTGGGGACAGCCAGGTTTGATGGACTGTAGTGTCAATTAGTTCATCTGCATCAATAAGGTAGGTTCACTTCAGAGTCATCTATCAATATAGACAAGAAATTAACTCCACTGGAGTAGTTTCACACTTCAGTGATCCTCCACTAGTATCACCTCCTAAGTCCTCATAGTGCCTGTATAAACAGTCATTGCAGCCTGAGAAAAGAGCTTTTTGTCAGTCTTAAGTGGTTTATATTTCCAGACTCAAGTGCTTTAGTAATTCCTATTTTGAACTACAAAGGGGATTCCTGAAATGGTACCTTCCTTGGGAAGGAACACTGCATTGCAGCTCGCCTCTCTGTGCATTTAGATGGCTGTGGCATCTCTTAACATGGGTATGTTATGGGGAAGAATATGGGAAAGCAACAGCAACAGCACACTGAATCTGCTTCTTGCATGGACTTTCAGTCTCATACAGCAACACAACCCTGCACGTTTGCACCCACCATTCTGTTATTGAAGTAGTTCTTGCATTTCTTTCTTCCTAAATAAATATTTCCAACATCCACCCCTTCTGGCTGCTGTGCCTCATTTACTGACCTTGGATCCGTAGAGGTAATAGGGCTGAACATTGGCTGGCTTGTCCCGCTGGGGTTCCTGTGTGAACGGGATCGCTGTCCTCACAAACCTGTGGTGGGCATGGGAGATGGGAAGTGGTCAGAGCCTGGCTGAGAGCAGATATGGCACGGTCTGGGATGACCTGTAGTTGCAGGCTAATTGGAATTCATCACCTGAGCTACATGAACTGGAATGCAAACTCCTGCCCCAATCTGCTGGTGGTGTAAAAATATCAGTGTAACCTACCAAGGTTTCTTCTCATTTGGGGCAGGCAAGAAACCCACATGTGAGCCGCTACCAGAGCTCAGCCAGCTCTCAGCCACTTGCAGTCACTGTTGCTTGACTTTGTTACTATAATCTTCAAGGCCAACTGGAGTTACTGTTGCATCTCATAGGGAGTGCAAATCTCACCACAGCGCAGGGGAATTTTATGTGGCAAGTCTGACATTCTGGAAAGATAAGCAGGGTTTCCAGGTGGCCCCTTCCTTGCTTTCCCTCCTCACCTGTTGGTGGATCCATTGTAGCAGTAGTTGGGTAGGAAGTCAAAGTTGAGCTCCCAGAAGACGTGGAGGGTGATGCGCCCATAGGGCGCGGACACGTTGTGGTTGGCCTCCCGGAACATGGCATCGAAGCTGTCCAGGGTCATGTGCTTGCACAGCAACCTGTGAGTCAGCCGATTTATTTCCAAGAGCCACTCCAGCTCCTGCAGCACATAAAGCAGCAGCAAATGCAGCATATTACCAAGATGACAAAAAAAAAAAAAAAAAAAAAGCCGCTGATATAATTGCCAGGGGAATGGTTTTATATCCACACATACACACAGAACTAAAGATATCAATTTAATTCAGTGGCCAAGGCCAGTTGCACTTCCACTCAAGGGGGTCCTGGTCCCATATCTTATGAATCTAAAGGAAGTAAAATTAATTTGTTCCCCACTGAGCACTGGCTGGTTTTCACCCCAGAATCCTCCAAAGGTGGAAACATAATTTTACACTACTTGACTCTGATGTTCCTGTAACATATCAAAGACAGCAAATCCTGCACACACGCAAACAGTGTCACAGCCACCTTCATCCAATGGGGAATTAAAGTCAAGATTTCCTTCTTCCAGCTTACAGGCCTCTCTTATAGGTCTGCAAAGTCTAACTGCTGTCACCTTATGATTTATGCAGATACTTAATAGCCCGATAATAATGCAATTAAAGCTGCATAAATAGAAACAGTAAAGACTCAGCAGCATAAAGGAGGATACATGGCTGTCTGAAACCTACTGTAGGGGACTGAAAGCAGAAGACAGTTGACTGTGTATCCATGGCAGTGTATTATTCTCTCTGTTCATACTCACAGTCAATAACAGTTCTTACCACTATGGATGTCAGGTCCTCGCTCTCAAAGCGGCTAATGGCCTGGTCTAACGATTTGTACATCGCTGCCGAGATGCGCTGGGTAATGAGCCTGTTCAGGTCAATTGATCTACCCAGCAACTGGGAAAAGAAGAGATTTGCATGTTATATACAGATGGGGAAAAGGTATTCTTTTTCTTCTTTTTTTTTTTTTTTTTTAACAGACACAACTTAAAACCAAAAATCCAAGCCTGTTAAAATGTGAAAATGGTGATATAAAGTCAGCTTAAGAGGGAAGGAGGGAAATGTGGAGCACAACTCATTTTCCCCTCAGGCCCTAAGCCTTGAGTGCAGTGTGTGAGAAACAGGTTCAGCCCTTCTCATTCCAGAACCAATCTCAATTGAGCCCAGCACCAGGATGCCCACTGTCACCACATGGATAATAGACCAGCAGTGATGAGTACTGCAGTCTATTCCTTGCACTGTACCTGGACGTGCCTCTGCTTGAGCAGTGTTTCGTAGCGGTTGGATGGAGGGTACGGGATGATCACCCCGTAATTCTTACATTCAGCCCGGAAACGTTTGTCCAATAAAACACTGAAAAACAGAAGCAGTGTCAGGAAAATAGAAACATGCACTATCAGCTTCTCTATGGATCTTTCCAGGGTTGTTTTTGTCCTTCTTTCAATCTTGGCTCTGAATGCCAAGTGATTTCCACACGCTAATACCTCTGCTTACACCCCTACATCACAGAGCAGCAGGTGTTATCTGGGGACTGCCATGCTTCTGTTTTACAGCTAAAACATTCAAAAAGATAAAAAAAAATGTGCTGAAAGATATCACTAGTATAGTGATACCACAGCCAGGTACAGGGGTGGTCCCCAATCTGCTGTGGGAACATTTGGTTGGTGATGGTGATTGCTCTCCTTCTCTAAGGCCAAATGTGACCTAGAGACAAAACTCTTTGCAAAGTTACACCGAAGACTTGGCTCACCTCTGGGGCCGTGAGAAGAAAACTCTCATTAGAGTTCATCCATGTTCTTTAAATTGCTAAGAAGGCAATGTCACAAAGGTTCTATCTCCCCACAAGGGAGAACAAGTCCTGCTGCTTTACTAGGGTGAGGACAAATGCATATTCTTGCTTTATAGAGATGGGAGGCTTCCACTCCTCTGCCTGGTACACAAACAGAAGTCAAGCAAGGACATGTTGTCTCGGTTTGCTCTTCTGCTGCTATCACAAACTGTACTCAGACAGCTACTCAGGATGCCAATTGTTATTTTTTCCACTTTTAATTGTGTCTCCTTGCCACTGTTAATTCATTTTTCCCATTTACACTGGTCTGACGTGGACAGCCAGCTCTGTGGGACAGGGATGATCTATGTTATTGTCTGCTTTCAGCGGCTGCTCCCTGAGGGGAACCTTTTGGTTTAACAGCAATTTGGATGCAGTGATATCATCAGTCACCATCAGCAGTCAGGTTCTCCTACCTGCCAGCCATTGCTTTATAATAGGCAAAGATCTGATCTGCCAGCTTGTACACAAATTGATCAAAGCACAAATTCACCTGGGGGAGAAAAAACAAGACTTGGTGAGGGTGTCACCAGCACAGAACAGCTCCTTCCTACGCATGCTACATCAATACAACCCAACACAGATCTCTCATTTAAGACAAACATGTACTGAAGGTCACACTATGTAAAAAACACACTGCAATTCTCACATGCTAAAGGTAAGCAGAGAATTACAATTACATTTCCCTCTTACAGTTTCTGCATGTTCCTGGTCTCCTACCCTCCATCATCACCCTGTCAGGGAATTTCTCTTTTTCCTCTGATGTTTCATGACTCTCTGCACATCAGAAAGACTCTTCCATGTCCCCAGTGTTTGACTGCCTTTGGCTTCTGTGGTACCCCATGGGTACAGCTAGTTTGAAGCCCTTAATCAGGAGAGTCTGTGAGGTCCCTGGAAATGCTGATCTTTTGAAAACTTCTCAGTCTGACAGGATATTTTTTTGAGGAGGTGCCTATAATGAATTCACTGAACTGCTGGGTGGGGCTGTCAAGCAGGGCAACATGACCCCAGTGAGCTCTTTCTATACAATAAAGATGAAGAGAACTTACTTCAGCTTCAATTTCATCGTATAGGAACTGCTTTTTGAACTTGGTCAAAGCATAGTATGCGCTGTCATTATAGAGGTCCAAGGGGTACAGCACATACCTGAGGGGAAGAAGACAGACCATGTCTTAAATTAACCTTGGAGCATATCAGCATAAATGACAGGCAGTGCATGTTCCCTGCTCAGTGCAAAAAATGCTTTTCCCCTGACTTCATGCCTATCAATGCCACTCCTGCCAGCCCCTCTAATAGTCCCTCTTGCTCCTCGGGTGCTGCAGGAAGTAGCTACAACAGACCTGGGTTTGAGCTGTGACTTGTTCAATCAACACTTGCTTCTTTCCAACCTTTACAAAGGCTTTCATCCTGTTCTCACTCTACAAAGTACTCTGACAACGGCCATACAACAGAAAACCAACCAGGAAGACATTATGAACATAATTACACTTGCCTAACAGCAATGCCTGTCTTTATTTATTATGCATTAAAAAAAAAAGAAGTGTGTTTAGGTGGCTTAGCCTGGGCCCACCTCCCCTTTTGGTACCACCACATCATTCCCACATCCCAATGGAGCAGTTGCCACCTGCTGTTTATGGCACATAAATAAGTGCCAGTGCCAGGAAGCTGCCTCTGTGTGTCTGCTAACGAGGTGTTCATACAGTACCGTTCATGTGACAGCAAGTCAAGAAACATCTATTTACCTCCCACGTCAAAAGGCTGCTCATCACCAGCCTACCCTTCCCCAAAACAAAACCCAAAGTCCCAGCATGTGCACAGCCCCAGCACAGCCCATCAGCTCTTACTCCATCATGGAGGGTTCTTTGGTTTCCAGAATATGGTCCGTGAGGATCCAGGGCATGGACATTTCGATGGGGAACTGGATGCGGCGGCCCATGGTCAGCTCCAAGAAGAATTCCCGGAACCAGAGCTGGGACAGGTCACAACACTGCTGCAGTGCTTCTGAAATGCAGAGGAGATCCCCCCGTGGGAGGGCACCCACGTTACCCCATGGGAACAGCAGTGAGGGCACTGCACAGGAGGCAGCTGCTGCAGCCTCAGACTGGACTGGTTTGGGGTGTGAAATATTTTCCTAGGATGTCTCTTTTTAAACCCAGACCGTGTTTGTGCTGTCTGAGCACTTCGTAATGGAAGAAGAAAGAAGGGATCATCCCTTTTGCCCCAGAGCTTCAGGGGGAAAACCTCAGTGGCTCAGATTTACTCCGATTCTGAAAATCTCTGAAATCTTCCAATTTATTCTGTGCCCAATGGCTCAGAAGTTTGTCTGGGGCAGAAAGAAAAGTCCAGTCCTAGAAAATAAACTACATGTGGCTATTTGTTATTACTGACTCAGTCCTGTTCACACAGTGATTACTACACAGAAACATGCCTGAATCAGGCAGAAGTAGGATATTTGGGAAAAATCAAGGAAAATATTCTGCATAGGTCAACGAGGACCACAGCTGATCTATCCTTGCCTTTCTGAGGATGAAAGAGTTGGATTCAAGCCTCCCCCTGCCATAATCTCACCACTGATGTTGAGAAGGTGGGTGAAGAAGAAGGACTGCTTATGGAACTCCTCGATGGCCAAGACTATTGGCCCATCCAAGCTGCTCCTCAGCGTCTTCTTTGAGCCACTCTTGTCTGCTATCAGGGACTCCAGCATGGTCCTCACCATGTAAAGCTTTGAAAGAAAGTGGATATGCAGTTACTACTCTCCAGTGAGACACCACCACACAAAGCCGTGGTGTTCTGGAACAAAAAATGCTTCTCCCAGGTGACGACCACTCTCTGCACCCATAAGCAACTACCCATTAGAGCCAGATAAAATTACACCCCTAAAAAGGAAAGCTTTGGGAACTACACAACTAATTAGGCACCAAAGCCACATTTAATGCAATAGTATGAAGACTGTGGAAAAGACATGAAACCAGCTGCTAACCCACAGGGTGGGAGACTCTTACATGGCTATAAGACCATTAATTCCCTACACAGATTCAGACATTTACATACCTGTGTGCTTGACGGTCCTACTGCTCGTCGTGGGACTTTAATATCAAATCCACCTTTAGGATCCTTCTCACCTCTCAGGCAGGGATCGTTTGGAGGCTCTCGACCCCCCTCCCAGTCACAGATCGTCTTCCGAATTGCCTGAAGGACACTGGAGTGGGTGGGAGAGGGAAAGTAGTGCCTAAGCTTGATTTTACTTCAAGATGAAAACATTCACCGCTGTGCACACATGGGAGGAAAAGTATCTGAGATGGGGACACGCACAGTTGTTATCGGTGGAGTCGTGCCCAAGAGTTACCTCGGGAGGAGCTGCTGGCCCAGGAATGTTGGCTGGTTGTGTATGCTGAGTGCACGCAGGGCCACAGGCTTATACAGTATAAACGTGTTCCACAAATAAACACATGGGCTTTTGCACTGCATTCAAGGGCGGACTGACCTGATCAGGACGTTCTTCTTCTTCCTGACAGCCTGGCGGAGCGGCTCCCGCAGGGTCACCTGCGCGAAGTCCTGCAGGGCCGCGTAGATGGTGTTGCGGATGGCCTGGTTGAAGACGCTCTCCATCCGGCCCATCAGCACCTGCAGACCTTTGATCATGGCAATTACCTGAAGCAAAAATTAAAACCAGAGTTATCTGCTGTTTCTCCGTTGCATGAAGAGGTCCATAAATCCGACGTTAAGAGAGTTTGGGGCTGAACTAATTCTGCTCAAGTAACACAGGTCCAGTGATTAGGCAGCTAATTTTTTGGAGTTAGCTGCTTTAGAGATCACAACAAGCTGAGGAGACGATTTACACCATCAGTTTCTTCCAAGTGACCCCTGTCCTCAGGCAGGCTTCATTTCCACTCCTGATCTCTTGCTATTTTTAATAAAACACAATCCCAGGAAACTGCACGTGCTCCACATGTGGGTGCATCTTGAAAAGACCTGCACTCACACCAGGGCACAGAATTCCTTGTCCAAGAGTACAGAGGAGCAAGACACAAAAGTTAAGGCAATATTCAAACCACCTTGGGCTGTGTAAGGCAAGATGAAGGTACGAGGGCCTCCTGTAGCCAGGCTCAGAGGACTATTTGCACCATCTACAGAGAGCTGGACCAAGAGCTGTATTGGGTTTGTGTGCCAAGTTTTTGGTAGAGGGGAACCACAGGGGTGGCTTCCGTGAGAAGCTGCTGGAAGCTTCCCCCATGTCCAACAGAACCAATGTCAGCCAGCACCAAGACAGACCCGCCACTGGCCAAGGGCAAATTAAGGGGCAAATTAAAGGATGTGGGAACACTCAGTCCTTTAACATGGGCCACAGGGTTGAGGAACTGGCAGAGTACAGTAAGATACCCTTCCATCCTCTTCCCCTGGCCTGAGGAACATGCACAGGAAATCAGCAGTGGCTGGCTCTGACTCTTGTGCAGTTGGAACCTACCTCCACGAAGGCAAACTTCTCTTCACTGGTGTAGTTGTACCGGGTGGCTCTCTCATACTCTTCGGCTGTTCCTGGGCAATCCTTGTTACAGAATTTATCTGTGGGATGAACCAGCTTCCAAGAGTACTAGAAGATGGAAAGAGACAATGTCAACCTTGCAATGAGTGAGAAGCTGGGCTGGAAAGACTCAAGAGGGCCTGTGACAGGAAATCACTCCCTAGACGTCACTAGAGTTGTTTGACATTCCTTTGGGAGCAGAATTTGTGCTACTTCCTAGCTTTATTATTAGTGTACTGAACACTGATTTTGGTTTTGGGGAGGTTGCCAGGCATATTGGGCTTTTGACATCCTGTCCTGAGATGTGGTCAAAATTTTTCAAATTAAGAAATTCCATCATCATTTGAATGGCAGTTTTAGTTGCTCAAGATCCAGCCTCATCCCAGCCAGATTTCAGGTCCAGGGTGGGATGACCAAACTCTTTCTCCATCTGACACTCAGGGTGTTCAGGGTCATTAGCTGCCCGATCTTAGCGTGTCTGTTAACGGCTTAGTGAATTGTCAGGAAATCGAGCCCACCTTCCCACAGTCTGTTCCATGCCATGTTAAAACACCCACGCTCACCTGGGAAGGGGAGGACGTTACACACTCACCACTTCCATGACGTGGGCACTCCACTTGGACAGCAGCTGCAGTCCCCGTAGAGCGAGATCAAAGAGCTCCCGGTACTCTTCATCCGATTTCTGGCTGTCCAGTCCTGAGCCAGTGACCACCTGCAGGATATCACACCACCTCAGCAACTTGCTGCAGAGGCCTCATTCAGCCAACAGATCTCTCTCTCAAATCCCAGCTGAAATAAATTCCCTGTGAACTTACAATCAAGCTAAAATTGAGTAGGGCATATACTGTCCAGCAGGAAAAGGGGGATAACTTGGCAAGACTCTTTTCACCCAGGCAGAATCTATTTCCTGTAGAGAAATGAGTCTGAGCTGTAACCTCAGAGCAAATAACTTACTCTTACTATTCCACTTTCCCACTCCTTTTAGATGGTCTAATACTACTGAAATCCTTGAGAGTCTTTTACTGATTAAAAGTTCAAATAAGCACTTACAAATGCCAAAAAGGAAAAGGCTCAGAATGCTACGATTCATTAAACAAACACTGATTAATGAGGATCACACATTTGCATCAGAGAGAGCACTGGCACTCAGTAATGAAAAGAACAGAGATGCCCTTGTGAACTTTCCTCAAAGCCCTGCCTGAGAGCTCTGTGTAATAGAAAAGCCCTATTTGCAAATCATTGGTGTTCTGACATCTGGCTGATAATAAACATTTAATTGCCAGTTTTTTTCTGCTTATTATAATGAATCTGTGGTCGAGGAGCAGAAGCTGTTGCAAGAGATCTTCTAGTGCACGTGATTTTGCACCGACAAGAGCCTTTCATGACTTGCTTTTTTTATTGCTGGATCGAGATGCGGTTTTTTCCACCCATGTCCTTTGTCCCTCCCACTGTGGCAGTCCATACTCCTGCTACATTGTTCTCTCCCAGCCTGGTCCACCTAAGGAGCCTGATTACAGTGGCTGCACCCTGTGAATGACTGACCTCGCTGTTGCTGTAGCGAGCGAGCTCCGAGATGAAGCGGATGTGGTCATCTCGGATCTGCACCATCTGCTCACAGATGTTGTACTGGGGACTGATGCTGCTCTGAGTGCACGTCCACCTGGGGAAAAAAGCAAAGGTGTCAAGGACAGGGCACAGGCACCCCAGGGACAGCTGCTCTCTTCACTTCAACATGCTCCAGACATGCCACCTTCAGGGCAAATGTCAGCCTGTGTTGTCTCTCATGTCCACTGGTGTGTGGGGTCTTCCAGAGGTGGTCTGATGGAGACGCTTGCCTCACCTTTCAACCTGAGTATCTCTGCTCCATCCACCCTGAAGGCTGCTGTCAATGTTGGGCTCATCTACCCCCAAGAGCAGAGATGGCTATTTCCCAGACCACCACTGGACAAGTTTTCAGTGATGAAATTCAAAGACTTGTCATCATTTTCACCCTTTCTGCTAAACCTAAGGATAATCATCCCCTTTAGAAATCATCCCTCCAGGTCTGGGTTATGCTGCCTTCTCCTGCAAGGAAAAACTCTGCAAGGGGCCAGCACAGGAATAGTTCTCCCACTCTGTTTTTTGTTCTGGCTCATGCTACAAGCTCAGTGAACAACCTTGAGAATAAATGACAAGCAGAATATGACTAACTGAACTAGATTTTCATTTGCATTGAGCCACATGTACCATGTAACAGTGTAATGACATCCTAAAACAAGGTAGCACTCCTCTTGCAGAGGCACAGTCATATGAAGGAATGGTACAAACCAAGCTTAATAATTTAATATAATTTTCCCTGTAATGTATTAGCCCCAGACATAGAACCAGAACGGCTCCACCAAAATGGTTTGTGCAAGCAATGTCTGTCAGCAGGATTCTCATGTCTTACTCTGTCAATACAATGTAAAAGTTCAGATTATGCTTTTCCCCCCCCCTAAATAATTGTCCATCTTATGATAGATAGTCACGTACTCCAATTTAGACTGGCCATACGAAACGAAGGTGAGAAACCTGCCTCTGATATGGACGCAGACATGAAGACATACCCCAAAGATAACTGCATTTTTTGCCAGAATTTGAGGTGGTAGAAGGTCCTGGAGGTGCTGTGCCACGTCATCCCTGGTGAAATCCGTCCTCCCACAGCCCCATCGTTCGGCTCTTACCCGTTTCCATGTCCTGTGCTCCCCACCGGACAATCGGCAGGTTAGCAGGAATGGCCAGGGCTGCACCAGCCCTCCCTGCCACACACAACCTAGTCCACAGTGCAGAGACAAAGCGCCATGCAGGAAAAACACCAATTAATTCCACTTTCATGGAGACAAGGAGGGAGAGAAAGTGACAAAAACAATATTAGTAAGAAATGGGGATTATGTGGAACCACCTTGGCAGTTAGTGTTGGGAGTCCCATGCAATTTGCTGGGAAAGCGAGTGGGGAAGAAACACTGGTTAGTAAGGCACGGCACACAGACCTGGTAAGACAGATTTCAAGACAGACATTAAAATCGTGAACAGGTAAACAGCCTGTGAGCTACCCTGGTTTTGAGATGGGAAAATGAGGAATGCTGCTGACACATGTTTCGTTGAAATGTGCTTTCTGAATGATTCAAGATAAAAAGGTGCAAATTTTTTAACAATTTTTCTCTTCTGAGTTTTCAAAAATAGTCTTTAAATTTACATTATGCAGAATATTTTTTTGCCTCTCTTTTTTTTTTTTTCTCCCAATTTTAATTGAAAACCTTTTGTTCAGGAAGTTTTGCCGTGTCATTTTCAAATCTCTCCTGAACAATTAGTTGGCACTTTTCAACCAGCCTTTGTGGGGGCAAGGGAGGGTTGCTCCTGGTGGGCAGAGAAGGCAGACCCTCTGGGGTGGAAGGGGACGAGCAAACAGAAGCGACGAGACTGCTGGTTAGTTCCTGTCCTGCTGAAGAGACAGCCCAACCTGGTTGCTTCTCACAGACACCAGAGAAATCTGACTTCCATACAATACAGTTCCAGGGGTGAAAGGCCACAGCCTGATGAAAGCCAGGCTGCCACCAGCCACTACAGCCAGACCCAGTCAGACAGGCTTTGCTTATGTGCGGCTGCAGATGCCATTCCAAGGATATCCAAACCTAGCACCGATTCCTCTAGCAATGCCTCAGCATGATTCAAAGCTACAAAGACAAGTGGGGCCTTGCACATGCCTGGTGTGACTGAAATAACGTCTGTGAATTCATCTGACAGGAGCAGCCTGTGAGCCCAGGCTGGGAAGCAGTGCTTTACACTGCCATGCTACTCCTGAGCTCTCCACAGACTCCATTTCTGCCCTTCTTGCACGATATTTGGAATCACAGTATCACTTAGGTTGGAAAAGACCTCTAAGATCATCGAGTCCAACCTTTGACTGATCACCACCTGTCAACTAAACCACAGCACCAAGTGCCACGTCCGGTTGTTTCCAGTTCATCTGAGCTCCCCAGTTCCATCTTTATTCCTGCCGTCCTTCTTCATGAAACCTGCCTGAGCTAGAGGAGACGCCCTGGCTACTGCAGAGATCCACTGCCGTGTTCATGCTCTGGAGGATTTTGTCCTTGAGATGCAAAATGGGGATTAAAATCTCTCCAGAGCAGGGACACGCTGCTCGCACTCACACATCTCACAAGCACTCAGCGCTGCCCTGATCCACGCACCAGACGCCTTTCCTTCCTCCTGCCTCACTAGTGGCCACCCAGCTCCCTCCCAGCCCTCTCCAGTGGGCACAGAGGTAAGAGGCATGCCCGCTCCCCTGCCTGCTCCCAGGGGGATGGTTACACGTGGGGTCGGAGCTGGCTGCACACACAGGCACTCGGGGCTGGCGAGGACATCTGCCCATGCAGGGACAGGGACACACGAGCACACAGAGCTGGCACTCACACTTCACAGGGACACACACGGGTACCCGTGCACAGACCTCACACACACCACAGAGCTGCAGCTCCCACGGCTCTCAGGACACACACAGAAGCCAAGAGACATTATGGCAGGCACTCACTTGGATTTGTTCTCCTCATAGTGAGCACTGGTCTTAATGTATCTGGCCAGTTCTATCTGCATATCGCCGAATAAAGGGACCACCTGCAGCTGCTGGAAAAGAAAACAAAAGATGGTTGAAACACGGCAGAGAGAGTGAGCCTGGCCCCAGCGCAACACAAGGGACTGTGGAAAGGCATCCTGCATCTCTGAAGCTTTGGAAAGTGTCAGGCTGTTTAGAGCAAGGTGCAAACCTGGGCCCAGGGTCATTTCACACCTAGTAAGAGACCGAAAATGATGACAAGGCTTTCTCTGTGAGGAGGATCACTCACTGTGAGTGCTCTGCAGCCCTGCAGCTCGACACCAGGCTGGTAAAGGCCAGAACAGTTCAGTGCTGTAACCAGCCAGAGGAAAGGCTCTTCTTACAACAAGAAGAGAGAAGCTCATTCCTGAGTAGGGCTTATTGTCTCCCAGCATAATCCTCCAAGAGAAGAGAGGGATGAAAAGCCAGCACATTGTTATTTTGGACACCCATGGATGTGATAACTTTCCCCAGGCACTCAGAGTGTACTTTAGCACTGCAGCTGCTTGTGATGTGTCTTAAAACTTCTCCACAAAGAGAAAGACACAAGCAGCATAGCATGGCTTTACTTGCCCTTTACATCTCAGGAGGATTCGGATGGGAAGTAAATTCCAAGCACACTGAATGTACCTCAAGCTCAGACAGGTCCCTGCTTCACTAAGCTTCCAGGTGCAAACAAAATTCAACCAAGACCTACCGACATTTCATCAATGAAGCTTCAAATACGAAGCTTCAACTTAACCCAGCCTAAAAATCCTTGCCCCAAAATTCAGGAAAGGTGATGGCAAATTCCCTGTCATATTATCACACAGTTCTCTTCTCAGGCTGAGTTGTGGGGAGGGTGTGTAATGCTGCCATCAGGAATTCCCAGCAGCACTTCCATAAAAGGTTTAAATGAAGGGCTAGTTCATTTTCACTACTCAAATTCCTGGTCAATCCACTAGAAATCTAATCAGAAGGCAATAAGCAGATGTAGTAAGAGGAGTAGTTGGTCTTTCCTTATTGAGATCTGATAGTCTGGAGTGGTACTTAACTGATTAGGTGAGACCACAGCAGATGGTGGAGAAGTGCAAATGGAAAAAAAAAGCTGGAAAGGAGAAAGTTATTCCATGCAATGGAAGAGATTTTACCTGGTTCTCTGATGGCCCACAGCACTTTGTAATGATGAGTAAATCTGTTTGAATGCACCAAGATGACCAAAATCTACAGATTACACTGGAGGTTTGATTTAAACTGAGATTTAGTTTAATTAGCAAAGCTGACCTAGGGAAGACCCCGAAGACTGTGAGGAAAGGCATGATAAATGACCTTTGCAGAGCTGCAGTCCTCAGCAGTCTGCCCAGTGACTGGAGGCTATTTGACCTCCTCATTATTGCCCCATCTGTGAGGTTATGGTGTTTGTGGCCCCTTGCTCTCAGGGCTGTCTCCAGGAGATGGTGCAAACTGGGGTAAATAGGTCCCCACTTGCTCAGGGCAAGGATGCAGCAGCTGGCACACAAACCTGCCGCGAAACCAGCTACCTGGGCTTGCCTGTTCCCTCCCCTGCACAGACTCAGCACATTCCCTATAAACTGAACCTCAGGTCAACAAGCAGGGAAGCATCCTCTATCCAACACCACAACCAACCTTTTCTTCCCGACCCCTCATATGATTTTTGGGTAAAGCAGGAGGCAGAATCCACTGTGCTCGAAGAGTGATTGGGAAGGAACGCTCTGTGCCCTCCCCAAATCATCACCTTCTCATTTTCCCTGATGTGGAGCAAATGCTGGTAACAGAAACTAATCTTTCCATCTCAGGAGGAAGATTAACACAGTGAAGGCAAAAGGACTCTGGAAGGACTGCTCAAGCTTAGTAGGTCTCAAAGAAAACTAATTGCTCTGTCTGGGAAATTATTCTACTGTTCTCCTGAAATACTGTTATTCTTTGCTGCCAACACATTCGTCCCTTGCCAGATCCCACTGCACCTCCTGCCCCAAACCCAAAATGCCTCCTGGATCCACCCTGTGTGCAGAAGCACTGCAAAGGAGGCATCACTTTCCCTGGGGTTCTGTGTGGGCTCTCAGCCTCAATCTCTGTCACGGGTGGCCAGGGGTGTACACACACCAGACTTTGGCAGGCAGCCACAGGGCTATCCCAAACCTCTCTTGTGCTGAGTGACCCCAGGGCAATGCAGCTTGGCTTCCAACTGCAGACCAGCCCATGGCTGGACTCAGTCTCACGTGTGCTTTGGCAGAGGCAGGTTGTGTGACTTCTTCCCACTCTGCCACTGGGAGCATCCAGTTTCCATGGGCCCTTCCCCAAAACCCACATCTCAGATAAGACAAAAATGGTTCATCAAACCACTGGGTGACCCTTTTGAGGATCAAACTGAGCACCTCCAAGTCCCAGCTGACAAGCTCCCCAAACGGCTTTTTCTGTTCTACAGGGAGAACATTTTATACACGAAATCAAACTGCCAAGATCACACGTTGGTTTGCCAGCTGTGTTCCCTGTCCCTCAGCTCAGCAGCTTGCTGAGGGAAAGAGAAGCACAACCATCACCTGCACAGACATCAGCAAACCAGCCATGTTTGCTGGTGGCCTGAAATCACAGAGACTGCAAACGTGCCTCAGAAATGTGCAGAGAGATAGAAGTGATGTCGGTCTGGCACATCCTTCCCTCACCCACCAAACAGCCCACACACCCTCCCCATCCTTACTCCCTTGGCAGGAAGCAGGCAGAGCTGCAGCAGCAGCTCCCCAGCTCCAGCACCAGGGGAGCAGAGCCAGCTCCAGGCACTGCTCACCCATCCACAGCCTTGCTGGCGCTGAGGGCTGGCATGGCCCACACTGCAACTCTGTACCCATGGCTGGTCACAGCAATTCCATTCCTCAGACTTTAGCCCAGATAATTCCTCAACTCTTTGGGTTTTTTGGACCTGTAAGTGATTCCTGTGGTTTACTTTTTGCTGGCAGCATGTGCAATGGTACAGGTCGCTAATCCATTGGTCTGCAATAACCTCCAGCCTCACCCAGACAGGTCACTGACCTTGAAGAATTTGTCTATTTTGCTAAGGTTGATTCTCTTCTTGGCATCCAACTTGTAAATGTTGCTGACGTTCCCATCCATGAGATACAGGCCAAATCCCATCACCTGGAGAAGATGGAAAGGCAAGGTTTCATTGGCAGGAAATCAGCAGCACAAGTCAAAGACAGTTCTCCACCACCTGGCATGAGGAAAGACCATTTCAGGCTCCTGTGCCACCTGACACTCCTGAGGAGACTGTCTGAAACATGCACATATCTGCAAGGATGCACACGGTAGGCAGAGGACACAAAATAGATTGCTTCTGTTTTCTGTGCAAAAACTTGGTGCTTCCTTTGGCAATTTGTTCCTTCTCTGTCCCACGTAACAACAGCCCAGAAGCCTTCTCCACCCAAAGCCAAACATTTACACTCAAAGAACAATATAAACATTTCAAATATTCTCCTGGATTGATTTTCCCCCCTCTCATTAATTCAGTAAAAATCATTACAGATAGTCAAACTACCCACATTATCCTTCAAAGAACCTGAGCTGACTCACACCATGGTAATGAAATTTTTATGGTAATAGTGACTGCAATCATTGCCAATAACTGACTGACAGCAAGGATAAATACACCTAACAAGCAGATCCTTTGGCATCTTCATCTTGAGGGCTCTTTACAGCGAGGAAAACAAACCTGGAAAGACCTGCCTTCTGCAGGGAACGGGCACCAAGAAGAAAATTCTGGGTTACAAAGTTGGTGGTGATTTTAGAATGTCCTTTACAGTTACCCAGGTCAGGCCCATGATCCTGCACATCCATGTACAACAGCAAAACTCCTTCCAGCTCCAGAGAGCAAAGAGCACCTACCAGTGCTCTCATCCACCACATGCTTAGGAAACTGAAAAGAAACATCGTCCTGAATTTCACTTTACTAAAACAACAGTAAAACCATGCAAGCAGCCACCCCCACACGCATGGCTAAACCTTACCTTCAAGAGCATGTGCTTCTCACTTGGAGTAAGATACATCTTGTTTTCATAGTAATCCACACAGATGTTGACAATATCAGCCAGCAATTCCTCATAGCCAGGGATAACCTCTAGTTGTTGGTGCAGACACTGAAACATCAACAGAAGCCACATTAGTGGCATGGGCTGAAGAAAAGCAGCAACCAGGGAGGAAACATATTTGAAGGATTAAAAGTAGAATGATAAGAGCTACCTTCAAACCTCTGTTATGTGCTTTTCTTAAGTTACTGGCAGAAGACTGACCTCATGGTACCACCTGGAAGGAACAACCTTCCTCTGCAGGACATCTCTCCCCTTCAGACTGATCACAACAGCCAAACATCAGACAGTGAGATGCAAAAGAAGGGGACTCAGAAGCAACTTTCTGACTCTCCTGTTTCTGTACAATATTGTACCTAATTAGCAGAAACTACAGGGCCTGTGAAATGTGGAGGCCACGGGGTCTAAGCTGCAGTCCCCATGCAGCCACAAGGGATGGATTTCTTGGGAGTCCTGGCAGAACCTCCTCCTCCGCCTCTTCTTACATCTTTCAGACTTTCATCTTTGTCTTGACATAGAGACCTTCAAAGCCACCCAAGATGATGCTTGAGAAGGAGATATTGCTAGAATTACACAGCCTGACCAAAAGACCAATAAAGTCAGTGGCAATGACCCAACTGCTACTGTGACAGTCTGGTCTGAAGTGCTGTCAGCCTCAAAGAGACCATTCCTTTTCTCTACTCACAGAAAGGTTCAGATAAAAGGGACCTGCCTGCGTGATGCGGTTGTGGTTTGCCAGGAACATGGAGAGGTTCTGGGACTCTTGGATGGACTGGGGGTCTGCCATCTTCCGCAGGAACTGGGCAGCTCTGGGAAGGGAGAAATCCAACATCACCAAGATCGCTCAGCCAGCATCAGACTGTCACTACCCACCTCCCCTGTCTGAGTTGCAGCTGCAATGCCACAGCCTCAGACCCCACTGCAGCACAGCTCAATTTATCAACAGGGAATCAAAACACAAGAGGGCTCAGAAGTTTGCCTAAACTCGCAAAGAGGGCCTGGGAGAGCAGAGAAACCCAACCTCCAGCCTCCCAAAGTTCCCTTGTCTGCCCAGGCACTCCCCGTGCAGACCAGGCGCAAGTCCCATCCCCATTCCTGCAGCAGCGGCCCCTCTCACCTTTTGTAAGCAGAATGGTCGTTTTTGACGCTGCACTTCATGTTCTTCAGCTCATCCAGGACAGCAAACATGTTGATGAACTTGCCCAGAGTGAGGAGATAGGCCTCGGAGACGAAGTCCTTCCTGCGCTCCGCGTGGCACAGGCGCTTCACCTCACTGCAGAACCGCTCGATCGCCTTGCGCTGGGGGGCAGGGGCACAGGGTCATCCCTGCAGTGGCTCATGCAGGGTCAGCACACCACCACTGGGACCCCACTCCACCCACTACCAGCTTCTTCCCTTAAAAAGAGTGTTTTTTTGGCTGGGGATGGAGGTCAGAGTCCCTCTCCACCATCTCCATGAAACAAAGCAGCGTTACACGCCACTGCCAACAAACATCCTCAGTGCTCATGAGCGTGGTGTATTCTGCAAAATCAGGTGTCAGTTTCTTAGGTGGGACATAAAACCTAAAAATGATGGTGAAACTCGGCTGCAGCCCGTTACAATGCAGGTGGGTGATGGGGAGGGGCCCCTGGAGCCCACAGCAGCTCTGTGACTGCCCCATGGTCATTGCTCTGTTGGGGTCTAAGTGTATTATTTTGTCAAACACCTCAGGTGTAGCAACAGCTAGGAAGAGACCTATCAGGGGCTTGGGGGCTCTCCAAGCTGCCCTGGCAGCCAAGGATAGCACAGCCCTGCTTAGGATGTTAACACTGAAGTAACAGATTATTTTTGCCTCTCTCCTTGACCACATACCTGAAAATACATGAACTTCATAAGCTTGGTGACCTCTGGCTCCAGGACTTCCACTGTCTTCTCATAAATCTCCACTCGGTTTGGCTGTTCGTTACATTTCACCTGCATTGCAAAGAAAATAATTTGTGTCAGCGTCAGCTTCTAACCCTGCCATGGACCACAGTGCTACCGTCTTCTCCTTGTTTCACACGGAGTCCTGTCCCCACCTGAGGACAATGGAGGGACCAAGAAGGGGCTGGTTCTCACGGCAGTACGTGAAAGTAGAAGGGGCTATTTCAGACACTAAATTCTCACCATGCATTCTAAAAAGGCATTCTGGGGAATAAAAGTCTCCTAATGCATTTGTCTGGGATAGAACACAGGCAGTATGGAGTCTGGACTTGCTGCACAGCGTGGGAATGTTGTATCATAAAGTTATCTGAGACTCTGTGTTGCAAAGTCCCCCGGACACTCAGGGCACCAGACTACAGCTCTGCTGTGGCCTCGCTGGGATTATTTTGGTTCTGTTGCTGACCTGTTAAAAATCACTGGGCTTGTCTGTGGCTCGCAGCAATGAATTGAGTCACCATCACTGGAATCCTGGGAAGCTAAATTTAAGGGCTTACTCAGTTGTCACCCATCTCACTTCCAACAGTTAGTTGGAGTCATTACCAAACTTTTAGGGAAAGCCCCAGCTGTGCAGGGGAATGCATCCTGCTGTCCTCTCTGGTTCTGTTTGCAGCTGTTGCTCACACAAGGCTGTGATGGGGCTGACAGCTCTGGTGCACTTTCAGCAGCTGATGCACAGGGCACGGGGGGACACACCAGCCAGCTCTGCATGGGGGAAGATGCCAAAGGAGAACTGCCCTCTCTGTAGTGGGCAATCCAATGTCCCTGCCCTCGTTTTCCACACTGCAGTTAGGCAATAACACAGGATCACAAAATCACAGAACATTCTGAGTTGGAAGAGACCCATAAAGATCACCAAAGTCCAACTCCTGCCCCTGCACAGGACAGTCCCAAGAATCACACCATGGCCAAGAGGAAGCAGCTCCTGGGAGGGAGGCATGGTGCACCTTTAGGTGTAGGCTCTGTCCTTCACCTGTTTCTGATGTAGCACAGGGAGAGCAGCCAGGCTGAGGGGCTGAGCACAGAACCCTCCTGGCCATGTGTCCCATGGCAAAGTGCAGGGGTCATTCCAAGATAAATCTGGTGAATCTGTAAATGAACCCTCTTTCCTGGAGCTGTCTGTCCCTCCATCACACATAGAACTTCCTGAGGCCCTGAGGAGGAGCTCGGGGCAGAGAGCAGGGACCCTACAATCTCCCCATTGCTGGGTCTCATGAGGCCATCAGCAGAATACGACCCAAGGGGAACTGAGGTTTGACCTTTCCTGGGGAATCACAAACATGGGCATCACCACGTGGAAATGTTTTTTTTCCTGGCTCCACAGAAGAGCTGCAAACCCTTTTATCTGCAGGGTTAGTGGAAGGGCAGAGCACCCGCCCCAGCACGTGTCAGTTGGCATTTTTGCAGGGATCCAGCACGTCTTCACATTGCAGGAGACTGAGCTGAATCATGATCAGTGAGCCATGTGGGCAACCTTACTCATGTCTGTAGGTGTTTGCAGGATGAAGCCATCAAAATCCAGGTTGGAGAGTGAAGGGCTAGAGAACAGTTGAAGAATAATGAGCAGCAGAGGAGGACAATGATTAAAAACATGGGGAGATCAGGATCCTCATATGTGTCAGCAGCAAAAAACAAGCCTTTGGGGAAATCTTTCTAGCATATTGAAGTGCTCTTTCATGCATCCTCACACAACTTCAACAATTTTGGGGCTGCTGTGGGAGCAAAGAGAGCACCTCAGAACCTGTGCAGCAGACTGGGATCCTGAAACTTGTCCCAGCTGCCCAGTCTGCTCTTTGCCAGTCTGGGAGAGCCTGAGACTGCCACATATTGAAAGAACCTGCTCTTTTCATCCCAGCCTGCCTGGGCTCCCTTCTTCATACAGCACAAGAGTCCCGACTGGCACTGGGGAAATTTTTAATTGAAGCTGAAGTTCTTGATACCATATAATTGCATGATACCATACAAAGGTATGAAGAAAGCGTGATATGAACAAGCTGATTTTACTCTCAACTTCCAAAAACTGCCTTTGCCTGAAGCAAACTCAATCTCCTCACAACATGAGAGAGAAGAATATTCAGGTGATGCATTGGAAAGAAAATTCCTTTGAATTAAAGCAAAGCCTACCTGTTCTCCAGAGAGAGCCACGAATAAAGACCCAAGTGACAAAACACAGCACTATCCCATGCACTGTGCTGGACCAGAGCTGTGCTGAGCTCTGTTAGGAGCTGTAAGACAAACAAGCTGGTCCTGTGGGACTTCAGGTGCAACCACTTCAGGGGGCAGGGAGGGGCTCATGAAACCAGGAAATGTGTGTAAGGCATCAGCTGGGGTGGAGTGTGTTTGAGGTGAGAAGCGCTGCTAGGAGCTGTGAGGGATGGAGTTCTCATGTGCATGAGGGTGCAGAGCAGATGCCCTTTACTAGGTTAGTAGAACAGGTCTGCTTCTAAAACAGCAACCAGCTGCTGACATCAGTGGTTGGGACTTTGGTGAGGAGGAGACAAATTTGGAGAGTCAGTGGTCTTTCTTTTCAGTCTATCTGCTTTAGTCTTCTTTTCTTTTTGTGATCTTCTGTCTCCACCCCAAACTAACCCATACTCAAGACAAAACAAACTGGATGCTCTGGGAACTTCCCTGCCTGGGAAGGGCTTTGGGTACCTGAGGGATGGCTCGTGAGCAGCTCCTCCACGTGTAGAGCATCACGGCGTACTCGTGGCCTTCTTCCAGCATCTCATTCTGAAAGACAGAGAGGTGTTGGTGGGGCAGGGCAGGCACTGCAGGTCCAGCACCACTGGGGCAGTGCCCGGGGGACTCACCATGCTGGAGTGCACCGTCGCCTGCTCGATGTACCTGGCAATGCCGGTCACAAAGGCATTTCTGTCCTCAAAGTTTGTGTCAAAATTAGCCTGTGGTGAAAATGGAGAGATGGGGATTAAAATACAGTTAGTTGTTTGCTCACCTGATACAGTTTAACATGGGATGTTTTGCCAAAAAGCAGAATCATTAGGGGTCTCGGGGCGTGGGAACAGCCTATGAACAATTTAGCTGCTGCACCTCTAGGTCTGAAGTAGGTTCATGGATACACCCTGAGATGCTTCTGAATCACACATGTTCATTAGAGGAAACCCTGCAGGTTATATGTGTGGAAATATGGCAGTTAAGACTGACAAACCCTTGTAAAATCAAGACAAACTTTACTGCAGCCACACCATGGACCAAACCTACAGCAATTATTCTAAGGATTTTAACGTGGTAACTCAAAGAAAGATGCAGCCTCATTAATTTCTCTTTGTGCCCTGGCTGCTAGGGAAAGACCACATCCTGTCAGCTGAAATTGCAAAGGATAAATACACCAAAAAGGCAGGGAATAAGTTGTCTGGAAAACAATATAAAAGTCAGCACTCATCCAAGTGCTATTATCAATGCTACTGTTGCTCTTACAAGCACAAACCTTGTTGGGATGAATAGTTGTTTTGGAAGCTGCAATATTGCTTTGGGTTGGGGCAGGGGAGCAAGAAAGTGCAGAGGAAGGTGAGGGATGGAAAAACAGCTCCTCATCCTCTCTGCACCCAGTGACCATTGGCTGATGGTATCTGCTGCAGGGCAGGGCAGACAGAAGTCCCAGGCACCCAGAGCTGCTCCTTGCAATGACATTAGCACTGCAGTGACCACACTCGCCTCAATAACTGATTTCCTGAGTAGGAAAGCCGGGAGCACAGACCCATGGCCACAGGGCTACTCTTCTTAGTGCCCCCAGGACTTCACGTGTGACTGACGTGACAACAAAAGCCGAGCCTGCACAGGCATTTCTGGCTAGCAGGGGACAGGGCTATATACAAACTGAGTATGATGAGGAAACAGGCTGTGCCAACATCCCCATACCCTGATGAGGGCAGGTTTTTAGGCCAAGCTGTGTGCACACAGTCATAGTCCTGAAAGGAGGCTGTGCCATAAGGCTGGACCCTGAGCCCCCCATGGGGCTCAGCAAAGGCTAAAAATTTACTGAAAGAAGAAATAAGCAAAAAATGATATCAAGATTTTCCAGGGAGAGCTGAAATTTGAACAGCCCAGAACAGCCTTTGGGTCTGATAACCTATAAAGATACTGAGGCCCTGGAATGAGCCTGGGGTCTGACCTGCTGAGAGAGATACTGTAATTCCAGACCCCTGTGTACAAGGCATAGCAATCACAGTACAAGTGTATTTATACACTGCCATGGGTAAGCCATGAATTCAGGAGTGGCAGGATGGAGAAAGTAAGCCCCTATTATATTTAACCCTGGGTGTGTGCTATAGGGCAGGGTGTGGTGGCTGGCCAAGCAGCCAAGGCATCCCACTGTGTAACCAGAAGCAGGAGGTTGAGCCGTGCCCTGGGCTCACGCCAAGCTTTGCTTGGTCAGTGCAGCTGCAGCTAAATCTGAGGTTGTTCAGGGCAGAGAAGTGATTCTAGCAGCTGCCCTCCCTTGTATGCCAGCAGCTGCCCCGACCAGCAGCTCCAGCTGTGCTAGTAGCAAAAAGTCAGGCAGAACTTTGATCTTGCCCTGCTTAGATGCAAGCACTGTATCATAAAAAGGAAGCACAGAAATATGTGCACAAAAAACATTGCCGAGAACTTTCTGCTGCTATCACAAATCTTATCTCCTGCTTCCTACCCATTCATGCACTCTGGTCCTCATTTTTGCTCAGCCTTAAAAATCCCTTTCACCAACCTCCAGCGCTTTCCTTTTAAGGTCCTTGGGAACAGATTTCTGGCTGGATCTGTTCTGAACACTTCCTTACACATGCTGAACCCAGGATGTTTTCGGCTAGTTCTCACAGCACCATGTGCCCCGTGCTTTGCATGAGCCACCGGAACAACCCTCCCTCCCCGCTGCCCCTGGGGGCTGAAGTACCTGGTACATGATGGAGGAGGGAGGTGGTTCGATGCATGGCTGCTGGTCTGGCAGAGGCAGCTCCTCCAGCAAGTCCACGTTGGACAAGGCATCCTCCAGCGTGACGTGAGTCGTCATGGTTCTGGATGTTCAGTTCCCACACTAAATCTAAAGTGAAACAGAGGGTGATAGAGGGACAAGACAACCGGCCAGCAGGCAGAAGACCGAGTGGGAAAGTTCCGAAGGACAAAACCAGACCCACAACTGGCTGGCACTGCAGGGGATGAAATCCCAGTTTATCTCATTTTCCTTGTGTATTTAACCTACATCTCTATGTCACCTCTCCTTCTACAATTCAGCTGCAGAGTAGGAATGCAGAATAAGAGGAACACAACTGCCCACCCAGGCACTTCTCTCATAACTCTATGCAAAACTATCCGAGACAGAAAACAGCTGAGTGCTGCAGTGCAGCTTTAGCAGCCCCAAGTGAAACCTCCAAAATGCAAAGTGCTGCTATCAAGAACATCTCTCGAAGCAGCATGATTAGAAAAGTATGACAGATGCTGACACTCACATGCTCTGCTTCTCACACACATGAACGGCGCTGGAAACTGTAAACAACCAACTGCATTCCCAAAGGTGAAGGGGAAAGAGTGCTGTGCAGGCAGGCTGTGGCACTGCAAGCAGCCAAAAAAGAAGTTGCTGTAAAAAAGAATTTCCCTGCTTTTACCACAGACGCGGAATCCCCCGTCAGTCCCAGCCCGCCCTGGAGCTGCCAACAGAGCCAGTTGCACACAAAATAAAACCAAAGCGGAACATTTGTGAAAGCTCCCTGGCTCTCACCCCAGGCAGGCGCCCCAGTGGGAACCACAGGACAAACCTCGATGTCCCTTGACTCCTCTGCCACTCACCTTGGCTGTAAGTGCACTGGCACAGAGGGCCTGTGCTGTCACCCAGGCTCAGCACTTGTGTAATCACAGCCACAGGGCTTCCCTGGTTAATGTCTAATCCTCTGCAGTAGCTGTGCCTGACCTAGAGCCTGTGTCTCCTAGAAAAACACCCCACTGCATTTAAACGTTTGCAGAGAGAGAATATTTTAAATATTGACATGTCATTCAATTAGCAAATCACCTCCCTCAGTGCTTCTTTCCTCACTCAGAGCCTGTCTAGTTTCAAATGTGAGTCTTCTGAGTCTTTATCACTCTCACCTGCGGGACAGTAGAGCTCTCTGTTACCAAAGTTCCCATCAAGATACACAGTTCAATAAAACACTCTGCAACCTTCACTTCGGTTCAGCCAAGCAGACCAAGCTCTTTGCCTGTGTTGTTACAGACCATGTTTTTCCAATCCTTTAATCATCTCTCTGGCTTTTCTCTAAGCTTTTGCAACTCTTGCTGAAGTGCAGACACGGCAGCAGGACACAAGGCTCCAAGGACACAAGCAGTGACTGCACAAGAGCCAGATACAACAGCAGCATAACCTCCCTTTCTGAGTACAACCACACCAGCTCCTTCGCTCACAACAGCATCTCTACGGGCACCCACATTCAGCCAATTATCTGCTACAAATCCCTCAGGGTTTCCCCACCCCCCTCTTGTTTTCAAGAGTATAAGTTTGCTCTTCATTTCCAGCACTGGGAGCATGGAAGGACAATGGCTTTGGGACATCCATAGATGGACACACGCAGACCCAGCAAGGTCCACTGCCAAGGGGGATGCACTCTGTGGGTAGTTCTGGAGTGGTTTCATGTTGGGGGACGAGTCTGCTGCTGTGCCTCATCGTCATTGCTGCCTCCATGCATGGACTGCAAGAATATGTATGAGCCTGGTAAAACCCATTCCACCTCCACAAATGTCTCCCCAAGATACCAGGCAGCTGAGAAACCGGTTTGGTTGTGCCCACAGCTGAAACATCATTAAATAAGTGCCTGGAAGAAAACAAAATCTCAAGCAGCTTTTTCCCTCCACGCTCAAATTTCTGTTTCCTTCTTCACCCCTCTTTGCTAAAATGGTTTCCTGTTACAAATTGTAGCAACTGTCAAAACCAGACATTAGGTTTCTGTAGCTTCCTCCCTGCCTGCCTGCAGGCACCCTGTGTTTCTCCCCTCAGAGCCACCCACCGTGCTCCACCACCACCCTCCAGCACCTCTGGACTGCCCACTGGGATCCCTGATCAACATCTCTGCTACTCACTCATGCTGCATTACACACTTGGAGAAGGCAAAACTTTCCATTTTATGGCTTTGAGTGCCTGTTTATTTGGGCTCGTTCCCCATTTCTCTCTGTAAGTTCAATTCTAAGACCATCTGTGTAAGGCAATTTGCTGTAATCAAAGACATCTCCTCAATAACCCTGTGACACCCAAAGAGCTCAGCAACTCAGGGGACTAAATTACTGCTGCTGTTTGGGCCATACCAGGAAACAGAGTCCCATCAGGGTCCTGCTGTGCCAGGCAGCACACACACCTGTGAGGCCAAGCCAGCCCCTGCCCTAAACATCTCACACTCAAAGAGAGGAAGAGAAGCAGCATGTGGAAATGCATGAACAGAAAAGGAAGCATCAAGGCACTGTGAGCGAGCAGTGCAATCAGCCACTGGCCCACCCCGTGCTTTGCCATGGCTGAGCAGTGCAAGAATCCAGATGCAGATGGAAAAAACTACACAAACTTTGAGGGTTTAATACATGAGTCTTTATAGGGACTTCTAGTTTCCACTCTACACTTTCTTAAGCCCAGGAGGGAAACCAACGGAGGCTACAAGAGAACGGTGTGGTCACCCAGGACTTCCCCTGGGTCTTGTGTCAGTAAGCATCTTGTAAGCATCCAGCAGTTAGAGGGTTGTGCACTGCACAAAGGCTGGGGAAGGCTCTGAAGGCATCAGTGATGCTCTGTCTGGTCCAAGGGGCACTGCACTGTCATCCTACCACAGAGGCTGCCTGGAAGGGCCAGAAGGTGAAGCCCCACTACCACAGACCCACACTGCTCTCCCTCACCTTCCTGCAGAAAGGTTCTTACACAAACACATGCGGGCTATCCTGGCAAAACCAGCTTCCTTCCCTCTGTCCAGTGACAAGGGGGAGCAGCTGTCAGGTAATCTGTCAGCAGCCCAGTAGCTCCAGCCCAAGGAAGTCAGGGATCCCTGGGGACACTCATCAAAAAGCTTTAACTGCCATCCACCACCTGGGCTACAGGGCAGGGGCAGCTGCACTGGGAGGAGGGGAGTCAGCCCATGTGGGGAGGGGAGTCACACCCAGTGGTTTGGTGTCAGTGTTTGGGCACAACTGGCCGTGGGGCCAGGCTCCCACCATCCAGGGAGCAACACAGCAGCCTGCCCAGGAACGGGGCTTTTTTTCTGTCATAACACATCCACAGAGAGGCGAGGCTTTCCCTCGCATGCAGGAAGCATATCCTGCCTCTCCGGACTCGCACACAGCCACACAGGCTGCCAAGAGCCACCTCCATATCCCGCTGCTGGTCAGAGAGGCCAGTCCCTCTGGTCCTACATGTTTTGGCAAAACTGAAGGTAAGGCTGGCAGAAACCAGCTCCACCCCAGTGAATCCCAGGGCAGGGATGCTGCCATTGGGCTGATTGATTATCCCTTTGCTGATGAGCATCAGCACTAATGAGTACAGTGTTGCCCACACTTTCTCCTCCTCTGCTGCAGAAACTTCCTGTTGCTTTCCCACATCTCAGTTGCAAACCCTCTGGCCATCTCATACACCTTCTAAACCCAAATGATTCCAGAGGCACTGGGGCTTCCAGACACTGCAGGGAGCCAGTCAGGCAGGGCCTGTGCACCCACCACCCACCACGGGCCCCCCACCCTGAAATGGAGAGTTCCTGACACAATGACTATTGTGGCAGCAGCTTGGGGGCCAGATTTCACAGACAGCATAGTAAGGCTTTGAGGAGTGAGCACAGACATCCCAGATATCTGAACTGGCAGGGCATATCCTACCTTCCCCACCAAAATTCTTGCCCAGAAGTATTGGTGCAATATCATTCTCTTCGACGCAAGAAGCACAGAGGCGACTTTATTGTTCAAGCAGCTTAGGGAAACAAAGGAAGACTTTTAAAAGCAAGGCCATAATGAATATGTTGCATGCATGTGTGCTCAGCTCCAAAGCTGCACAGCTGAGAGTTCTGGGGAAGTGGCACGGGCTGTTTCGGATTTCCAGCTTGCTTGCTCCTCCAGCAGACAGTCACACTGGAGCTGCAGTAGCTACCAAAAGCAAGAAAGGAGGCAAGAAAAAATGGGAATTGCCCAGACAGAGTCCATGTCCTGCAAGTCGGGGGTGAGATGAGCAGCAAAATGGCTTTTGCAGGGGAGCTGGCGATGTAGAGGAGGGCAAACCTTCTGGTCACCTCCTGAGCTCTCACCTTCAGCTCTCATGCCAAGCCCCTGGGTAACCCGGGAAAGTCATGGAATTTAGCTTTGCCCCTGTGGTAATGCTTCTCCCTCATACTCCAAAAATAGTATCTAACTGTCCTGTCCCAACAAGTGCCCAAACAGAGTGAAGTCTTATGTGCACAAGAGCGAAGTGTTCCTGGTACCCACTGCCTCACAACAACAGGACGATAAATGCTCCTGGCCGCCAACATATAGTCCAGAATAAATTCATAGTGTGAAAGCTTAGTTTGACCCTTGTCTAAAATGCACAGGATTGAAGTCCCCTGTGTCTTAGGATGCATATCATCAACTCCTCTCATGCTCTGAGAATTACTTGTAATTGCAACCACCACCACAGTCGGGAGGTTCTTTGTAGAAGCAAGTAAGCACAGCCAGGAAGAATGAGGCTGGCAGAGCTGGGCCTCTGCCCTACACAGGCACAGATGCTAATAACCATGAAATCACCCTTCCTATTAAAAAAAGGAAGCCAAACTGCATGACTCCTGAAGCTGTTTTTCTGTATCTTCACTCTACGTTTTCTGCCATTCCATTACGGCTGAGTTCCAGGCATTTGTGCCATCCTTGTCTCTCAGCAACACAATTATTTTGGATTTATTTCTTTTAGAATGGCTTAATCGTATTTTTTTCTGGTGCCAAAGAAAGAGGGTCAAGGAAGGAGGAAGGTACATGAAGCTACATTTCCAACAGAGTTGAGAAATTTTGAGCAAGTTTACAAGCAACCCCGCTGGTGACAGTTAAAGCACTTCTTGGGAAACCAAATCATACAGGCCAGCATTGTTAATAGTTGACCAGATATTCATCTTGAAAAACCAATCTTCCTATTTTTCATGCAAGGATGATAATTGTTTGTTAACAAAATTATTATAATGAAATCAGCATATTCTGCTTTGCTCAAGAGGCCCTGGTCAGAAAACGGAAGATTTTGCATATTTCCCAGGCTTCATTAATAACAATTAACTGTACAAAGGAGAAAAGAATTATCCTTTGCAGAGAATTACCACAGAATTATATGGCTGTGACACCAGAATACTGGGCTTGTCACCCATCTCTGTGACTAACCCCAGACAACTGTCATCATGCAAAACATGAGGGTGATTTTTGTTTCGGTATCTCGGGGCAGGAGGGGTGCAGAGGCTTTAGCGACTCAGCCTAATTCTTTGAGATCTTTGTGATCCAAAGCCCCCAGGCAGGAATCCCCCGTGGAAAGCGGCAGATGGCAGAGGGGGCCACGCTCCGCTGCTGGCAGTGTCCTCTGACAGCACACACAGCCACCACCCTGCCCCCTTCTCCAAAACAGCCCTGGGCACGCAGGGAGGCTTTAGTGTGCGTCTCTTCTTCTCCTCCTCCCCTTTCCTTCCCGGTCCTTCCAAACCACGGAAATTTCCTACGGTATCCATCCTTTCTACCCCCCGCCCGGTGGGATGCGGCTGGCACGAGGCATTTCCAGCGGTCTCGGGTGTAAAGTTGAGCACAAAGGAGCGCTGCCCGGCCCCACGCGCGGGGACCGGCTCTGCGGGGCTCCGACCCGCGCCATGGCCCCAACCTGCGGGCGCCGCTCCAGCCATCGCTCCCAGCGCTGGCTCAGCCTCCCTCGCTGCCTCCATCCCCCTCCTCCCCCAGGAACACCATATTTCCACGCTACGGGTGATCCGAGAGCTGGCCGGAGCCCCTGCCGGGGCCGCCCCCCGCCGCCAGCCCGGCGCTGCGCGCCGCCGCTCCTCCATCACCATCATCATCATCGCCATCCCCTCCGCGCCCCGTTCTGCCCGCGCCAAGCATCGCCGCCACCCCGGCTCGGGCTCCCTCTGCCACGGCGGGGCCTGCAGGGCCCGGGGGTTCGGCCCCTTCCCACGCCCCGGGGGCGCGGGGCCGGCACGGGCGAGGAGGGGGGGAAGGAGGGGGATTAGCGCTATTTTTTCCCCGGCGCTTTGCCGCGGCTGCGGGGAGGCTGAGAGCCGCAGGTAGCTCTAGGGATTGTGGGATACATCCCGCACATCCCGGCCCGGCCCGGCCCGGCCGCCCTGCGCTCCCGGGGCGGCGGCACCTGCCCCGCCGCTGCCCCCCGCCCGCCGCCCCCGCTCCGCGCTCCCGGGGCGGCGGGGGCACCGCGCTCGGCGGCGAGGGGGGAGGGAGGGAGGGAGCAAGGAAGGAAGGAAGGAGGGGATGGGGGTGAAGCCGCGCAGCCTCCGCGCAGCCCCGCGCCCACCCCCGCGCCCGCTCACCTGCGCTCGGCGGGCGCGATGCTCCGCGCCGCGGGATGCTCCGCGGGATGCTCCGCGCCGCCCGCACAAAGAGCAGGAAATGGCTGCAGCAAGTGCACTTCCGCGGCTCTCCGCCGGCCCCTCCGCGCGGCGCGGCGGCGGGGGGAGCCCCGGCCCTCGCCGCGGGAAGGGGCTGGAGCGGCGCGGGCGGCTCCTCCCCCAGCAGCGCGGGGGATGCGCGGCGGGGCCGGGGGCTGCATCCCCCTCCTCGCCGGGAGGGGGGGCCGCAGCTCTCCCCCCGCGGGGGTGGGGGGGAACCTCCTGCGGTGGTCGCTCCGCCCGGGCTGGCGGCAGCGCGGCGCCGGCGGGGTCGGGGTCGGGGTCGGGGGAGGCCGCCAGCCACCCCCCCCGGGGCTGGGAGGGAACAGGGCTGGGGGCAGCTGCTGCAGCCCCTCGGAGGCCTGATGCTGGCAGAGTGGGTTTGGGTCCCTGAGGAGGCAGGACCCGGCTGGGATTCCCCCTCTCCCTGCAGCTGTGTTCGCTGGGTCTCGGGTGTTCAGCCCCTGAGCCCCTCAGAGGACCTTTGTTAAGTTTAACCTACCATCCTAACAAACACGCTGTTTGCAGAATACAGGTACATATAGAATACATATAGAGCCTCTGATGACTGAGCATGTTGGGGGCCAAAAACAGAAGGCAGTGCTTTTACTCGCAGCTCCAATCCTCTTCTGAGTCAGCACCGCATCTAAAAGGTCTTCCTTTTGGCATTTTTGGTATCTGGCTTTTCTTCAGGGACAAGTTTCCAGTCCTTCTGCTTATATTTCTTTTTAAAGCTCTAATACAGCTCTTCAGATCTACTGTGAAGTCCAAACTGGACCTCTCACAGCTTCCAGAGGAACATTGAATGCCCCATGCTGACTGACACAAGCCCTGTACAGAGCTATCTTGTTGAAAGAGGCTGGTGGATACCCCAGGACTTATGGAAGTCTAGATACAGGTCTAGATGTAGACCCTACACTGCAGTTCTGCTACCATGATTTGAATGGATGCAATGGGCTTAAAGACACCAGGGTCTGCAAACTAGAAAAGCAGCAGGATGGTCTTAGGAACTGTCTTTGTTTTACAGGAGAGGACTACACCTGAAAAAATGTATTAATATCATCTCTGGGAGTAGACCCTTCTCTTTCCCCTGAATAGCATTTCTTCTTTGGAGGTGGGACTAGATGACCTTTAAAGGTCCTTTCCAACCCAAACTATTCTATGATTCTGTGGTATCTATGACTCTATCTCACCTCTGACTAAAGCATTTTGTAGCCATCATTCCACTTTTTACTATTTAATTCTTGTCAGAAAAATTCAGTAAGTGAGCATTGTTACTGCAGACACAAAGGATTTAACAGCTAATATTGCTCTGAGGCCATGGGTGAAACCAGGTCAGTTCAAGAAAACTGTGGCAGCAAAGACTTCTGTGGGTTGTTTTTTTTTTTTTTTTTGCACAGTTTAATCTGGTCCCTTTATCAGCCGGGCTCAGGGTGATGGGAATTCCATGAATGTTAGGATAATATTTTAATTTTCTGCTCCGTGTTGTCTTAGGTTGTAGAATAACAGAATGAGCTTCTCTGCATTTGTCCTGCAGATCTCTCTGCAGGCTGGGAAGGATAACAGCGAGGAGCAGCCCCATGCAGCTACAGATTCAGGAGTGTGTGCATCAGCTGGCTCTGTGTGGAGGGGTGGAGGGGAGAGATAATGTGATGGTGAGACGAGCTGAGCACACAAAGAACACACACAAATTTGAAGTGTCTGCCAAGTGAGATTTAGCAGAGCCATTCACCTGAATCCGTCCGCGCTGACAAGCGCAGGCGTTCAGAGAGGGACAAAGCCGAACATCACACAAAAACATGTTCATTAAAAAATGTTTCAGGAAATTCCAGATTTTTTTTCCAGGCCTGATTTTAAGGTAATTGTGTGCTGACAGCCCCCACTTCCCCGGGGTGACCAACACATGCACAGGAAAAGAGCTTTTCATGGCTAATTCTGCCACACTCCAGCCCCTGGTCTCCACTGAGAGGCATCAGCTGCTCTTTCTAGATGAGGTTACTGCTTGACTGCCTTTTCCTAGCAGGGATGCCAGCCTGGCTGTGCCTGTGCCTGGCCATCACAGCAGCAGGTTGAGGACACGCTGGGATAGAGCTCTGGGCCTTGGCTCCAGCCAAGTGTGCAGCGTCAGCAGAGCCGTGCACCCACCGCCTGGGAAAGCCAGCGGGAAAATAGGGACAAGCACAGCATCCCACCTTGCTGAAACACTTTTCCATCTGGTAAAGGTGGAGTGGCTTAAACATTCAGCAGATTGCAAATGCTTTCTAAGGAGACAGGGAAGGGGTGTTCAGAGAAAGGTTACTCACTTTGCAGTAGGACTCTGGTAGTCTGACCTCTACTCTGTGGGGAACATATCCAGTGAATCCACATGAAGGGCACCCACCTAAACTCACCATAGACACTGCTCTGATGGGAGGAAACTGGGTTACAGTGCACTGACATAATGCAGTTATCCCAGTAAGGCACTGCCCTTTTGAAATTCTTGAAGTGCCCTGCAAATTATCATGGGGAAACACCTTCTGGGAGCACTCCAATACTACTACCCCCATTTTATGAAGATTCAGAGAATTTAAAGCCACCATAATGGATGTTTAGACATAAAAATATGGTGTCCATATAGTAAATTACCCAATTTGCAGAGATTCTGAATGCTTCATACTCCCATAAACACAGCACATAATCTAATCCCAGAGCACAGCCATAGTTCTGGGCAACAGAGGTATTTCAGAAAGCCAGAAGAAGCCTGCTTGCTTCTTGGTGGGGGGGACTTGGAGGAGGAGCAAACTGTATGATTATAATTACATGAGGATGGGTTTTACATTTTTGCTAACATATAGTGAAAGGCACAGTCGGGACTCAGCAATTTTATTGTTTGTAAAAACACGTATTGTGTGCGTAGAAATACTGCAAAAGAAAAACAAACATTAACACATCACAATATTATGTTGTGCAACACCCTCTAGCTAATAAATATTACACATATCCAAATATAAATATAACCTCAGTGACTTCACCTAGCAGAGCAATATTGCTGCTACTAAATAGCAATGTCCTCAAGCTCAACAGACCCCTTATGCCTTCAAGGATGATGAGGGCAGCAAGCCAGAAGCTTAACTTCGTGAGCCTGCAGATACCCCTGCCACAGAGTGTGTGAAGATGTATAAGGCAGAAATTGATGCCTTGCCTATATCCATATACCTGAAAAGACATTCTGGCTCCTAAAAGCTACCCTAGAACCACGGGTTTAAAAAATACCAAAAATTATATTGCCTTCTATGAAGAAATAGTTCAACACAGGATATGTTAGATCATGGGATTACATTATTTCCTTGTTCCATTTTTGTTGGCAAACATATTTGAACCTGACTTCTGTAATGACAGGAGATTGCTGCTGGAAGTTTCACCTTAGAGTTTTTGTAAGCTGCTGTCGCATAAGGTTTCCTTGTGTTCTCACCTGCCCAAAACAGAGAAGCATGAAAAATACATCCTGTATATATGCAGATATCATTTGTGAGTCCTCTTGACTTCCCTAACTATTGTTAATGCTTAGCAGAAAAGTCCTGCAATTTACAAATTTACAAGTTCTGCAGGACCCCAACACCCACACATTTGGTTTTGAGGTCAGTTATGTCAAAACAGTCTCTCTGTCTTGCAGTGGAAATACAGATTTTAATTTAAATACCAGGAGATTTTGTTTATACCTTCTTCTGCTGTCACCACATAATGGAGAACTCCTGGTGGAGAAAGAACCCAGGCAGTCCATTTGCATTGGACTTTTTCTTTGATCAGTCCCTTTGTTCACAGAGGAGATGGAAGGATCTTTACTTTTGATGAATCAGTTACTCTTTAAAGTATGAGAAAACTCTTCTCATTATCACTGGTGCACTGAGCACATACTCTGCATGTTTTTTCCTCGTGGCTCCCTTGTGAGCCCTCCAGCTCCTTTTTTCCAAACACACCAGTTCAGCAGTAGGTTCCTGTACCTTTCACAGGTAATCAGATCCCAGAACTCTGTCTTGTCCTGGACTGGAAACACATAGCACTCTGCACTGCTCAGTCCTCCATCCTTTGTTCAAATAAACTGAATAGAAGTCATGTAATAATCTTCTGATATACGAAGACTGAAGAAGAAAACAATAAAAATGTTCAGCTTTGACTTCCCCCCTCCAAGAATGTCTCCAATTGCATCAGAGTCCCTTTTTCCCACTCACTATACAACGCAATCTGAGACAATTTCAAAACTCTTCAGCACGTTGTTTTTGCTCTTCCTCCCTTACAAACTCTCATGCACACACAGACACCTCTTCGGTTTACTACTTATCCAAATCCTGTTCCTGTTATGCCACAGTTGCAGAAAAAAATCATGCAAGGGAAAAGAAAACCACCTTAAAATATCGGTGTCAAAATGCAGTCACTGTTCCTGTGTCTCCCAGGCTTATTCATGTTCAGAGCTTTCAGGTCCAGCCCACTCTGAATTAGAGAGCCGTGGAAACGTCTAAATGTTCCTCCTCAGTTAAAGACAGGTTTTTCTTTTCCCCAGGGAAGACCTTCATTTGGGAGTTCACAGAACTGGAACAGCAGTGTCAGATCTCTTAGTTTTGAGGCTGTATCTTCGGGAGAAATACCTTTGCTGGATTGTGTGGTTCAGGACTCTCTGCTCAATTGCTGCTTCTGCTTTTAAGATGCAAACCACAATCTTGGCCAAACCAAAGCCTGTGTCTGTCTAGGCTCTGGAGGACCCGGGGATATCTTGTCTGTCTGGAAGTACCAGCCTCTGCCCTCTCTTCTCCCCAGGCATATGGCAAGTGTTTATGGTGAGAGGATTCCTGTTAATGCTTTGTGTGGGGAAAATCCAGCCTTCTCTCCTCCCAGGACTCTCTTAGCTGTGCTGAGTGAACAGTGCCATGATTACAGATCATACTCAGAGATTTCACTCAGCTGAAACAGCAGAAGAGAAAAGGGTGGCCGCTCGTCTTTCCTCTGAGCAGGGGAGAGAGAAGAGAGAGGAAGAACATTATTGTCAGCTTGAGAGGAATGGCAAGGTTAGCAAGGAAAATCTTGTGAAGAAACTGAGTATTAAAAAAAATACAATCTACCCCTATAGAGCAAATGGCAATGGAAGAACCAGCTTCCTTCTGTGCTATGTTTCTTTTCTATTAGCAGTGAATTTTGTCTCATGGACACTAAGTACCTTCTAATGGCTGTCATTTTTACCACCACTGTTTGAACTCAGCCCCACAGATCTGCAGCTTTCTTAGGAAGGAAACTTTTGAATTTACTTGAGTTAGGTGCACTACACGGGCTCCTTAGTGAAGTCAATGCACTCTATAGAAACAGCAGATTAAATACAAGGCAGAGAGACCAGAGTTTGCTTGCTGGTGCAGATGAAAGCTACAGTGCTTCACTTCCAGGATTTTATCTTGTGTTAGCTATGTGATGTGTACACTTCTCTCTCCTCCTTTAAGCCAAGGGAAAGAGATCTTTTGTCTTTGGGAACTAGGTCTCTCTCATTACAGTACTAACCATTCTCCAGCAGTGGCTCATGACATCATAAATTGCCTTGGAGGCCAGCTTGGGTTTGTAGAGCCGAAATCCTGCATTGATTTCTTCCACCACTTCTGCATTGGTGCGATTCTCATAGGGGATTTTACCTTCGCTGAAGACCTCCCACATCAGCACTCCTAAAGCACAGAAATCAGAAAAATCATGAAAAAGCAAATAAAATCCTCATCAGACCCTTGGCCACCTTCCACCTGTTCTTCTCTGCAACTCAGTGTTGTTGTCATCTACTTGGAAAAGCATTTTCACTTGGATTCTCAGTACACATCTGAAAAACCAGGCAGGCCCTAACACAGCTGTACGATGCCAGCCAGGATCTCTGCTGTGCACGCACTGGAATGTGTGGAAGTACCAGTCTGACTTCTCTGCATCCTACTTTGTGATAGTCTAGCACACAGGGATGTCTTTCCCCATGAGTCAGATGCTGTGTTATGTGTCAGAAAGCAGAGCATGTCTTCTCCAAAACTGTGAAGAGGGAATGCTGTGCATGTGCTCCATCCAGATGTGTAATCTGGGAAAGAGAAGCTGCTTTTTAGTCGCTGATTCAGTTCATCTATTTTTGCTTCCAGTTAATCACATAGAAGAGACATGTCACTGATGTTCCTGCCTGCAGTGTGTCTGTAGCCAGATCTGTTAATTTTGGCGAAACTCAGTAGCAATAAAGCCACATGAACCCCTCCATTCCTGTTACCCAGCTTAGCACAGGGAACTCCTAGCCTGAAAAATGTCCTGGCTGGTGTGATTCTCTGGGATGAATTCACATGCTCATAGTGGAATTTCAAAGGATTGAGGCACATTTTTCTTCTTTTCCTAAACAGTCCAAAGTTTTCCTATGATTACTGTTCAGAGCAGTACAGAAACTCATGCTTTTCTAGTGTGGTGAAAGAGAGACAGGCAAAGACAAAAGACTGAATACACTGCAGTTGGCTTCCAGGTCAGAGAGGGTCTGCAAATGGAATGAATACAAGGCATCTGGGTTGTTATTAGCTTTAATTTCTTTGGTTATGCCTCACATAGTAAACTGTATTCACATTGTGTTAGGAAAGGGAGACAAACAAAGACTGTTCTGAAATAAAGTTGTGCAACTCCATAGTCAGCTTTGCTCAATTATGTCTGCTTCCATCTTTGACATCTTCAAATAGGAAGATGCATAGAGACTGCAGATCCACACCAATGATACTGGCCCTACTGAAGAATAAGCAAAGCAGTTGTACTACCCCAGTGTGCAGATTCCTGCACTGGGAGTTTCTGATGCCCGTTTTGTTCTCCTGGGCACAGCAGGATTTCAGACCTGGCAGAAGAGATGAATGGGCTGCAGAGTAGCAGAGCAGAAAGCTGCTCACAGTCATGAGACCATGAGGAATCTTCTTATGCAAACCCCACTGGATGGGGAGATAATGAGTCTGACAGATGTACAACCCCCTGTCTGCACATCTCACAAAGAAGGACTGACCAACACAAGCAAAGGTCACCTGTATTTCATTCAGACCTGAAACTGGAGTAAGCCAACTTCATCAGGCTTGGCTTGACTGTAAATCAATCTGAGCACCCTTTCTGGAAGCATCTGGCTCTCAGTGTACAGGCCAGTTTCCGATTTGTGAAGCAGAAGAACATTCTTACCAAAGTAGCACCTCTCCCCATGTCACTGCCACTTCGCTGTGAGGTGTCAGCAATAGCTCCTCTGACAAAAGCTGTCCCTTGTCATTACATGGTGAGTGCTGACAGCCTCCTCCACATGCCAGGGAACATGGGGAGAGGAATGGTGCTCTCTGAAGCATCTCCCTGTTGAGTTTGTGAAGGAGGCTGTGTGGGGCCTGAGCACCCAGTGCCCACCGTGCTGCTCGTAGCCCACCCCAGGAGTGCACAGCTTCAAACACAGCAGAGGAGATGGGAGCCACAGCAAAGAGCAAGGAGAGCACAGCATTCACAAGCACAGACTAGGAAAGGTTATAATCCTTCATTATTTACTGCTGGGCCTGGAGCTGAGTGGCACCCCATTGACTGTGTGCTGTGCACAGCACACTGCCCCGATTCACTGCTGTAACAGAGATTTGCATGTTGGCTGGAGAGGGGCCAGGGCCATGAGTGTGCCAGATCTACAGCCCAGGGGATAGCCTTTGTTATGGCTTTGGGGAAAAAATATACAGCGGTGTTCTTATCTGTGAGGGTCCAGAAGGGAGACCAAAGAATGGACGCAAATCATAAAACAAAGCATTGGGGGCCAGGAAATGGGGGGGAGAAATGGGAGCAGTGAAATTATATTTTCAGATCAGCATAAAGCAAATGGGCTCAGCAGAGCAAACTCGGGAAGGCAGAGGGTTTGAGTGAGGAATCAGTGCCTAGGACTGACATGCAGAGAGATGGAGTGCCTAAATATTTTCTCTTTCCACTGCTCTGCTCTGCTCTGCTCTCCTCTATAATGTTGTCAGTGGCTCTCCAGGTTTTTCTTGGACACTCCTGCTATGTCAGCAGGAAACACAGTTCATTATTTGGTACGGTATAGCATTGCACAGCCATAGAATACCCTTAGAATCCAGAGGACGTAGTGTTTAGAAGAGTTTACTTCAGGATTGAGCCCTTAAGTTTTCTAAACTGGGGTTTGTTGAATTTTTTTCCATTTTGACGAGAGTTTCTTACCAAATGACCAAACGTCAGACTTGGTGCTATAGTTGCTGTAGGAGAAAACCTCTGGAGCAGACCACTTGACTGGAAACTTGGTCCCTGTGGAGCTGGTATACTGATCATCAAGAACAATCCTGGAACAGGGAAAGAAGGGAGAATGCTGAGGGGAAAATCCCCATCCCATGACAGCCCTGCAGGGACTGTGCGCGGCCTTAGTGGAATTACCTCGACATCCCGAAGTCAGACACTTTGACCACCTGGGATTCCCCCACCAGGCAGTTCCTGGCAGCCTACAAGAAAAGAAGGTGCAAAGGCAGCAGGTCAGAGTTGAAAGACTGTCACAGCCACTCAGTGGCTTTTATCCTGGCAGAGCAGATAGTGCTTAAAAAAGAGCATCAAAGTCACATTGTGCCATACAAAGAGGACAAAACCCTGAGCTCCTCATGCTTTCTGTACATTTTACAGCATGTTCCTGTTGCCAGAAAAGCTGTTCAACCATCAATATGACTTTCAAGCCCTTATTGCTCAAAGGGCAGAGAAAGACCCTAAAATATCCACAGCTACTCACAGTTCTTGCTCCCTAGTGAAATAGCCACAGTGACCGATGGAGCTTGATTGAACACCACCTACTTAAAAGTATTTTATCATCAATGCATGTTTATACATGATTTATGCAAAAAGAAGTCTTTCTCTTTTTTTTTCCTGATTTTAGACATAAAAAGGAGTCAGTACCCAGGAACTGTGGCTCTTGGGGAGCAAAAGGGTCCACTCAGGAAGGAAGAAAAACTTTATAGCCTTGTTTCTTCTCTCCCAAACACAGTTAAGGGAAATAGATTAATCAGCACTCCAGGGGTTGGTTTTTTCTTTCCCTAAAGTATTGGTGCTGATTCTGCAATAAGGGCATATACAGGATCCCCTGTAAATACGTACAAGGAGTGTGGAAGCTGAAATTAAGGAAGGAAGAAAGCACAGGAAAACATCCACCCGGAGCAAAGAAAAAGCCCATGTGGGACCAACATACCAGGTCTCTGTGGATGACAGAGTTTTGTTCCAGATAAGTCATTCCCTCACACACATCTTGGCACATCCCCAGCAGGGTTTCCTTTGAAAAAGTGCCCCGCTGGCTCCTGAGGTAGTCGGACAAGCAACCATTTTCCATGAACTCAAACACCAGGGATATGGGAGTGTTCTCAAAGCACACACCATAAAGCTGGACTAGCTTGGGGTGAGACAGCTTCCTGTGGGATGGGGAGGGAAGGTGGAAAAAAATAGGCTCAGTGCCTTCTACTCTTACAGCCACTGTGTAATGCACAGCTACACGTGCCACTGTGCTGCACCCTGCTCTCTGCAAAGGCCAACTCTGCACGTGGGTAGACCAAGTCTAATGTCAAGTAGGTCTAAGTATCATCCTTTTTTAATGGTGATGGTCACCAAAACACTTTTCTGTGTGGAAAATCATAAAATCAACCAAAAATAAAATCAATTTCTGTTTGCTTTGAAGGGAGGGAAATGCAAAAAATACAAAGTCAGTCAATAAAACCAAAGAGAATATATTCAGTTGTGCAAAGCAAAGAACACTTTGGCAGGTAAAGGTTTACAGTAAAATTTCCCTCAAATTGTAAGATATTTCTCCATCCAATTATTTTTGACAAAAACCACTTTGCTTTCCAAAATGAACCTGGAGCAGCAGAGATCTGGAAGACCATTCTGGATATTGATAGACTTTGAAGCACAGTAATTCACCTATACTTTGAATTGCCTTCCTTTGTAGCTGCCAGAGCTCACCTGTCTCCCTCTATACTATTTAGATACGTAGCAGATAATCAAAGTTTGAATTCCCCATTCATATTCCTGGCAACACTTTGGCTCAATCTTACGAATCCCAGAGGGGCTGATTTTCTTGGTGAATCTGCTACTTACATCAAGACTTTAGCCTCCTCAATGAAATCCTCTTCAGACATTGCTCCCTCACGGATGGTCTTTATGGCTACTTTCGTCTTGTCCAGCAAGTAGCCAAGGTAGACCACCCCAAACTGCCCACTGCCAATCTCCTGCACACGGGTGAGCTCTGAGGCATTAATGACCAATTTTCCTGTTTGATTGTAAGGGAGAAAGAGTAAGGATTGAGCAGTAGGATGTCAAAGAAAAAGCTTTTGCGGGAGATAGGACGTGGTGTGAGACTTTCTGTCTCTCCCTCAAATTGCTTGTCTGACCCTTGATAGCTCATTTGATTAGTCCGTCCTGCAGGTCGTGTTCAAGAGTAGGAACAACAACATCCCCTTTTCCCCCTCCTTTGTCTTGTCTATCCAGTTCTTCAGGAAGGATTGTTTCTGCCATGCATATGTGCACTACTGAGCACAACATGGGGTTTGAGTTTCTTTGATGTCTCCAAGAATTACAATAAGGACGATACTGGCAAAATTCTGTTGACAACAATACTTAAATGAAGGTATCTCTCAGGAGAGACAGCTTTCATCAAATTGTGCTATGATCCCACTCCCATCCCCTTTGTTCAGCATTCATTTTAGTAGTTAATGTTGACTTTATTGACACCCTGGGGTTCTCATCACTCCCTCAAGGCACTGCACTGTCAGTTCAGTCAGTTACCAATGGTAATGACAAAGATGATAATCCAGTGAACAGTGCAGTGCAAAGATCTGGAGAAAGCTATTTATTATGGCTGTGGTCGCATGAATATTCATCAATATCCACGGGGATATGCAGGATCACCCAGCTAACAGCAAGGAGTGTGATTCCCACATAGTCATGAGGGTACTGTACCATAGCTCAGCCCTGCAGTGATCGGGGCCTTTTTCCTCCACGAAGACACCGCATACCTGAGCCGAGTGACGAGACCTGAGGGACAGAGGGAAAGAGGGGTCCCAGTTATTGTCACAGCCATGGGAAGTGTGGCTCTCACTACCCCAGGAGGCAGTTTGGATAGTGAAAGCAGGTTTATTGTACTGAGTTCTCAGCTCCACTTGAGGGCAGCTGAACTTCTGCTCAGACTGATTTCCTGCCTGTGAGAAGGAAGCCAATCCTGAGCAGTTTCAGCTTATTTTCCATTTTAACTCTGATAGCAAATGTGAGCCGTGAGTCTCTATTAATTCTGATGAATTTCCAAATGATACCTTTTATTTTCAGGGTATTTTTGAAGCCTAGGGTTTCCTGTAGTACTCCTGCACTGTAGGGATGGGAGTCTTCGGTGACTCCCATGTCTGGCTATGGATCCTGGCCATGTCCCTGACTTTGTGTCAAATCAAGGTCCAGGGATATATCATCTCCTGGACAAGAAGGCCCTGCTGTGTAATTCAAACAGGTTGCTTGGCCTGGCAGTGGTGATACTCCCCCAGGGCTCTCTATGCTATGTCATTATGACATCTGTGTTGGCCACAATCAGCCTTAGAAGGACAACTAGAGTGAAGATGTGATGCTGAAAGCTGGAAACTTGCCTGAAATGGTCATTTTCCTGCCATCCAAGTGCCAATATAACTGGGAGAAGAAGTGATGCCATTTAACATTTCATTATGAGGACAGAGGGCTTGGGAGCTTTCCTTCACTCAAAACAGCCACCTGGCTGCACGGGGTAAACCAACAACTTCCCTGGTCAGTGTTGGCCTTCACTCACCTCCTGCATTGTGCTGGTGGTAGTTGATGAGGTCAGGGATGCAGTCAAACACAAGCTTTTCTGCCAAGTAATACCGCTTGGGAAAGTCAGTTGTCTCATTGATGTGATAATGCTTTATAACAGGATTGTTGTCTGTGCTGCAAGAGAGGAAGGTTTCTTTGAGGTAAACTATGTTGCAGCAAAAAGACAGGAATCTGGGGTATAAACAGAAGAGTAGCAAGTGAGAAAAGGGGAAAACCTTCCCCCAGAATGAATGGGGGAGGAGCAAGGAGTGAGTGCAGTTGGTAATTATGTCTGTGTACTTGTATGTTCTCCTTTTCACTCATAGATGGTCTCATCTCTAGAAAGGCTGAGGTTTCCTGATAACACAAGTTAAGTATAAGTTTCTCCGCCTCTTCTTTGTGAAAAAAACCTTCTGCCCCATTACTGAAACCCTTTCACTAATCTTGTGCTACCCACCTCTGGTGAGTCCAGCACAAAGTCCATGTTGACCCTACGGTCACTTCAGCTGGGGGAACAATTTCATCAGAATTACAACCCCAGTGATGTCTAAGGCACTATTTATAGGCACATATTTAGATGCAGGGAGAAGTGGAGCCTTTAATACACTTTGCAACTGGCAGCTGACTCTCTGCCTTTTTTGGAAGTGTTTTCCTCTATCATTTTCATGAGCCTTCTGTTCTCTCGTTATAATGCCAAAACAACTATACAGAGATTACACACTCACAGAAGCCATTTCATTGATGTAATTGATGTGAAAAGCTGCTGAGCTCAGCTGTACCTTAATGCTTTGGTGAAAACAGAGACTGTGTACATGCCAGGCTGCCTCGAATCTCTCACCATGAAGGCACCTTCCCTACCCTGGAAGAGGAGCAAAGGAGAGAAAAACTGGTTAGAGACATAATGGAAAAAAAGAAGCAGGCTGGGGGCAAAGCTGTGCTAATTTCAGCCCTGTCTACTGCTCAGTCATGAGGATGTGCTGAACATGTAGGGAAAAAAAAGAGCCTCAACCCACTGGCAGAGCTTGGGGTGTCCCACGCACAACTCTGGTGGCTGCCCAGGGCCTGCAGGTACACCCTGCTGGTGTCTCTTGGGTGCTGTTCTTTCAGCTCAGTTTCCTCTCAGAGGAAATGAGACTTAGGCACTTGTGCTGAGTTCATGTGGCCGTGCCTCTCTGTCCCTCCAAGCCTCTCCTAGAAACTCTGAACCCATTGATTGCCTTCAGCCCTATTTGACAGAACATGTGTTCAATGAAATGTGCGTCCGAGTGGAAAGACAAACCCCTCCGAGTGCTCTCTGTTGAGCAGCTACAGAATGAGAGCACAGTTTATCCAACACCAGAGAATCCATATGGGAGTGTATGAACGATGATTTACCAATGTACTACAAATGGGAAAAGCTTGGACATGATCCTGCCCTTCCATAGGTGCACCAGTCATCCAGTATCTACACACAAATGTGTAGGAAAGATCCCTGCACTCTGGCACTCACAGAACAGCTTTCCTTTTTAACTTTTCATTATAATTGTTTTCTAATCATCTCAATGCTAACATATTTTATAGGCCATGATCCCTCAGGGCCAGACATTGATAGATCAGATGGCGAAGGAGATTTAACATCACCGTATGGATGGAACTTGCTGCACTGGCCTATATATTGATAATAAAAACTACGTTTTACTTCTGTTTGCAGATAAAGATGCTTTTCCTCTGGCATCCCAAGTACCAGATTATTTCATTCCCTCCTTTGCTTTACATGGTTGGTTTCCTCCATTTTATATGCCTTCTACTCACCCACAACACTTCAAGGAAAACTAATCCACCAAGTGCACCCTGCCTTGGACTTGTTCCCACCTCCCCAGAGGACTGATCAGCTCCAATATCCGCACAGGGCAATTTCTAGCACAGGGAAGCTCTGAAAAGGGTCTCTGTGCTGCTGTAGAAGCATCTCTATCATACACACTGAGGGCTTCAGGGCTCATCTCCCTGGCAAGTATCCAAGGTAGGCAAGTTTTGGTGACAGCATCCTGCCTGAGTTACTGTAAGCCGTACTTTTGCCCTTGAATCTCACTTGACACCAGGCCTGGCCAAAGATCACTCACAAGCTTGGCCACATTTTTGGGGGGAGCTGTGAGGGTTGCAAAGTTTTGAACCAGAGGTCTCTGCAGCCACACGGGGGTAATTGCCATAGAAAAGTTGTGCTGGTAGGACCAAGAGGAAAAATAAGATTATTAAATCATGTGTGGACATGTCCTGTAGTAGTTTGTAGGAGCTAGAAGAATTTTTAAAACCACACAACCCCGCTTTTGTTTCCATAAAATACTGTAATTCCAAGCAACAACACTCTATTTGAGGCACCTGCTAGTGTAAGAGCTTATTTAAAAACTGAGGTTGTGTTTGTGTGGAAAATATGAACAAGAAGCTTATTCTTTATATTTTCAGTACAGCCTTCACTGGAAAACTCTGGCTCAACTGAAAAATTAAAGATGTGTTCTCCCATGCACACACACATACAAAACTAAAAAACAAACCCCAAATCCATACTTCTGGCTTTTACCCAAAATATTTCAGCATGACTTTGCTTAAATTTTCAGAGAACTAATGGCATCCAGAGGCCTCCTGCAGAGACTGAAAAGATGAGCTCACATCACAGTTTTCAGTTGGCACAGTGTTCTGAAGCAGTGTTTTCTACTAGCCACAGTTATTGTGTGTGTTTGGCTAAAGATGGTTGGCACAGCTCTGTGCCCATGCTCAGCAAATGTGGAGGTGAGGGGGTGGTGCTGGTGGTCCTTTATCTGGCATCTCACACTAAGGACAGCAGCACAGCAGGAACCCCAAGGTTCAGCTCCCTGACACAGAGCAGCCCTTCCAGGCTTCATCTGTCATTAATTAATTAGTATTTCCCATCCACCTCATACATAACACTGGTTTACCTCATCCCTGAGGAGAGTTTCTGCTTTGCTCCTGCTGATGTTCTTGTTGTACCACCTGAAAACATCAAAAGACTCCGAGTCAGCATTTCCAGCCCAGGAAAGTTTCTGCTGAAAAGCTGAATTGAGCATCCCCAGGGCCAGCACTGACATGTGGTTCTGGAATAGGGGCATTCGAGGCCTGGAGCTTCAAATCCAGGGCACTCAGAGGTCCAAGAACAACATAGGCACAACTTACTCATACATTTGCAGATTCTCGGGTGATTTTTCCACCAGGTAGCTGCTTGGCACGTAGCCCTCATGCCTGTTGAGATGCAACACAGTGTGAGTGTGCTGACAGATAGGATTTCCTCTGCATCTGTAGGAGTCAGCCTTGAAAGATTTGCCTGCTCATTGCATGATAGAAGTGCTGGTTGTTATGTATTTAGCAGGGTTACTGGAGAAGAAAACAACTCATTGCACCTCTAAACCTCTGGAGAGTTTCACAATTTTTTCCCCTACGTGTATCACAGCAAATACCGACCTGAGAGAAGGACTGTTTATTTTTTTAAAATTAACTTTTCTCCAGCTGCCTGAATAAAAACATCATTAAAAGGGAAGAAAGTGACCCTAAATAACCTTCCATCAGCTTTCCTGTATGTCAGAAGATGCTTCACAGAAGTTAAAGGGGCCAGCATGTATGTTAATGGAAGAACAAATTGGATTTAGAAAGGATTTGTAAATTGGCTGTTGAAAAGGGACTTACCCATTCTTATCTTGAATCAGCCACCAGTGTTCCTCAGAGCTGTCTATCACATAATATTCCTCGTTATACTGTAACGTCAGCTCCTGTGGATTCTGGGCTTCATAGTCATATATGGCAATGACCAAGGCTTCCTTGGGGTACAGAAACAATTCCTGCACAAAGAAGGCAAAAGGCTCATCATATTCATATTCACAAAAACCAATGGCATACTCTCTACAATGATATTTTCCTGGCATCACTGGTTTCCTCTGGGCTCAAAAGCTGCAAGGCTAGGAAAGCACCCCACAGTATCTAGAGGAGTATGGTGGCAATGTGAGAATCTTTAGCACTTTCAAACAATGAATTTCATATAAAAATTTCAGTTGCACAGAAAATGCCCAGGGAATGTTATCACAGGTGAAATTCCAGGTCACTGCACTGTGGTGAACCTTAATGAGGACACATTCCCCATTGTTAGTTAATCACACAGGACAGGACACTAAGGACAGCTTAACATGCCTCACTGCACTCACCCAGTTATCTTCAGGAGTGGGAGGAAGAGGCTTCTTTGAGGCTGAAATGAAATCAAGAAAGATAACTTGAAGTCAATCAGGACAAAACCAGTGGAGAAACCATCAGTGTAATGAATGGATACAGGTGATACAAACCCAGGGAATAGCGAGCCTAGGACTTTTAGAGCAAGAGATGCCAACTGCACCTACACAGTGAATCTCAGCCACACAGCAGGGGTTTGAAACTGGGGTTCAGATTGCTTGAGGAATCACGCAGATAAAAGGTAAAAGTTTATTGGCTGAAGAATGATTGACCACTATGTGTTCTCAAGAGACAAAAGTCAGGATTACTCTTGGCCACTGAAACCACAGAGGAAATATGGTTAGAACAAAATAGGATATCCTGCAGCCACATGTTTCTTGATGGAAATGTAACACTGTATTTTTTGATGTTCTATACTAGACAGATTCGATCCTGTACTTTTGCTGGGAATAAATATTTGCAAGGTCAGGATGGTCTTAACAAATCACATACCATTTTTGGAGGGATCATACTCCACACAGCCAACTGCCATCTTCTCTGTCTGGGCACAGCATCTCCACTTGCCATCTAACCAAAAATCTGGATGACACTTTGAAACCAAACTGTTGTTGTTTCTTGTTTCTGGAAAACATTAGGGGGAAAAGAAGAAGAAGGAGGGAAAATTAATTTATCTGCATCCCCATCAGCTCTAAAAGACATCTAGAACTAAATGGAAATAATCCGCACTTTAAAGAAACTTCTTGTCAAACTAAGCTTTGGTGAACATTATCAACCTCCTCCATTAATGTTTTCCTTTCTCCCAAAGGGAGTGAAAGCCACCACAGATGTGGTGGGTCAGTCTCAAAGTGTTGAATGAGGAGAGATGATGAAGTAGGAGCTTGTAGCAGGTGCATTTCGCACAGGGAATAACTGGTTGCAAGAGTCAGCTGCATGAACTTCACAACACCTCCATCAGGCACAGTGTTTTCAGAGGGACACAATACAGCAGCTTATGATACAAAGCTGTGACAGAAGCCTGGTGCAGTTTTCATGTAACTAACACCATCCTTACGTCAAGCATTGTGCTTCGTCTCTGCCCACAGTGGTTCGTTGCTGTGCCTTCACTTCAGCACCACGGCAGCAACCACAGAACAATTCAGGAGGGGAACAGGAAATGAAAGCTGCCCGCAAAAATGTTTCTTAATAGTCATGATTCTCTAAGAAGGTTGTCATCAAACAAAAAATTAATAAGAGGCAAAAAATCTTCTATGTAGAAAGGATTGATTTTTAAAAAAAATTAGCCGTAGTAACATGCTTGTCTCTTGCTGAATAAGGAACCTCAAATTACAGTAACATATTAACAGTTTATCCAAAAAAGAGATAAATCACAGAATCACAGAATCAGAGGATGGTTCAGGTTGGAAGGGACCACAGTGACTCATCTGATCCAACCTCCCTGCTCGAGCAGGGTCATCCCAGAGCACACGGCACAGGATTGTGCCCAGACGGTTCTGGAATATCTCCAGGAAGGGAGACTCCACACCCTCTCTGGGTAATCTGTTCCAGTGCTCAGTCACTGCACAGGAATGAGGTAACTTCAACAATTAGGTGTGCACAGGGTTTATTACCTTCCTTCAGCGTGAAGACCCATCTCTGCCGGCTCTCACGGTTGGGAGCAAACACGTAGAGTAGGTAGCTATCGTGGACGATCTGGAGAGGGGAGTAAAGAAGGGACTCAGCCATGAGAAGCAATCCCAGATACTCTGGGCACAATAGTGTCACCGAAGGAAACAGGCAGCAGCCCTCTCACCAACAAGTTACACACAAAATGAGGATGTGGGAGAGTGGAGCAACAGGGCCTGTTCAGAAGCATCATGAGCATCTCTTAAGCTCATCAACTTTTTGCTATTTAAAATGGAATGGAAATTCTTGTCAAGAAAGAATTCTAGACAAGCACTGGTTTAGATCCCTTTTATGCTGTTAAGAAATGCCTGTGAAATCAACAGAGCAATTCCAACCTGCAGAGGATTTAGCCCATTACTCACTGGCTGCAGTTTACCCTTCTAAAACTCCATTTCTCTGGGAAAATGGCATCTATTTTTTAGCAATTCCTTGTAAGATACCTTCACTTAAGATCTAAGGGCCAATTTTTTGTGTATGTCAGTATAAATCTCAAGCAACTCCCTGGAGATTATTTGAATGCTATTATTTTTCAATGTTTTTAATATCTTTCAGTAGGTTTATAGAGGGGAAGTATCTGGAGCAGATGAACAATGAGCAATCAAGATGCTGTTTTCATCAACTTGGCTTAATTACAAACAAACAGATGAAGTGAAATAGAGAAAGCTTGTGAAGTTTCAGACCAGGAGTAAATCATCACAAGAACAAAAATGAATCAGAAACTGAATTGAATTACTATATTTGGGCCTAATATTTGATGTAATGCATAATCTACAGTTCTCTTTCAATGTTTAGCTCAGCAGTTTCATGCCAAAGAGGACCTGGGCTCATTGATTCACAGATGCTTTGAAAAACTTTGACCACTGTCTTTAAACAGAGACTTCTACAAGACAGTAGCTGATTTTTAAAGTTTCTGCAGAGGTGTAGACAAGGCAATATTAATTATTGTCTAAAGAACAGAAAACATTTTCCATCTCAGTCTGAAGTCCTTGAAGAGTGATGCAGTTGCTTTGCATGCTACAGAGCGATAAAATAGAGAAAGGGGAGAAATGACTCCTGCCAAAGTCTCTCCTGTTGATATTATTGTCAGGTCTGTATAATGTCTAAGGCGGATTTCAAAATATGCAGTGAGCAGATCTCCCAAAGATGTAGTCATGAGCATGAGCAACTGCCCAAAATCACCCATTTCATGTGTATTCATTTTCAGTTCCGCACAGGTAAAATGGACAAAATCCTGAGTGGATTCCCCTTATGTAAAAGATGTTTTTTTCTGAACATGAGTCAGTGGGACAGCTGAATGTTGTGTTAAACATGGGATAGCATTCTATCTAATGATCCTTTCCAATTTAAAACCAATGAGCAATGGTTTATGGATCTTGACTGACTCCCCAGTTCAATTCCAGCCTCAGTCTGCTTTTTCTTCCTTCGTTGTTATTCAACCTAGTGTTGGGTTCATTAACAACTGCACTGTGAGGGAGAATTTTATTGAAATATACTGAAGTGATATCCCTATCAGTGTGGTCAACAGACAGACTCACCTGGAAAGGGTATTTATACTGACAGGGAATGATGATGTCACTTTTCACAATTTCCACACATTTAATCCTGGAAAGTTCCACAGAACCCTTCAAAGTCCTTTTTTTCTAAAAGACAGAGAAAAACACTTGGTTGATGCTAATGATTGTGGATTAAGTGAATAATTAGACAAGACTGTCATGTCCGTGGGAGATTTAATTTTAATGGAGCAGAAGCAAATTAACTGATTATGTAAGACATTTAAAAGTACAAACCATCTCATATATGGCACCTGCACATGTTTTGCTCATACTCATACATATATGCACATATATATATACTTTAACTCAGCTCAAGGATTGTTAGAAAACCAGTCAAAACCTTTGGTTGAAATTCAGCTTTTACTTTTTTCCTTCCAACAAAATGAAGTGCTCTTTTAACCAAAAAGGACTGTTTTCCTTACATGTTCAGTTTACTAACACTACTCTTTCATGCTGAAAAAGATATAAAACACCAAATAATTTATTAAAAAAAGTTTGGGTACTGCGCATTTCAAAACTATGCATTTTATCGAAAATGTACATTTTTACGACATCTGTTTTCCAAAGACCACAACACTTATCTGTTTTGTTTTGTCTGGCTTTTCAGCTAAGAAAAAAAAATAACAGGAAACTTTAAAATAAATAATATCCTCAAAAACTTTCTGACAAAGCTCTTTTCTTGCTGCCTGTGCTGTGTTATTATTCACCATATGCCAGATACCTTGATCACAGTATGGGCAGTTAGGAATGGGTATGAGAAGAAAAGACATCCAAATATCCCAGCTAGCTCAGTGTACCCTATTTCCTATGGGATTCTCACCCCATAGCTCCTTTGCCAGTGGCACTGAGCTTTTGCAAGAGAGGGGTGAGGTGACGCCTGCACACAGCGGGTGGGAGCGGAGCTGAGGCTCAGTATCTGATGCTTCTGCAGAATTCACTACACGTGCATTTGCTCTTCAGAGGCAAGCTAACCAGCTGGGTTTCCTGTTTTGATTCATTTTCAGTAGGGATTAAACACTAGCTGTCTCCCAGCTCACTTTTGGGACAACGTGACGGAAATCAGTGAGACCTAAGAATGCCAAAACACCGCAAACCGTCTGTTCTTCAAACACAGGTGACTGTCAGTGAACTTCAGCTGCTCCACTGTACCTGTCACAGACAGCAAGACCTCAGCAACCTTCTTATCCTCCCTTGGACCCCAACCCAACCCTCTGTGTCTTTCACTCTCCAGCTCCCTCTTGTCTCTTACTCCCTCCATCATCATGACCCCGCTGGCAGCAGCTGTCCCCATCACTGTGCCAACCCCCACTGCTTCTCCTTGGCTGCTTTACATCATCGCCATTTAGCCTAAAACAGGGAAGCAGCTGATGCCTCGGGAGATGGGGTGAGGTTTGCTACACTGTATTGTCAAACAGCCTCAAAACAGAGAGGCCTCGAGGCTCCTCGAACCCCACTCTTGCACGACTGGCTGGGTGTTTTGCTTTTGTGCACTTGGACTTGAGGCAAGAGAAGGAAATTTCTGCAGTGTGGTCTCACATTGCTCTTACTGAACTTTGCTTGTGCATTTGGGTCTTTGTATTTGGTTTTGCTCGCAGATTAACCAGTGTCTCTGGATTTACTGCCAGGACTTTCTCCTGCAGACAACAACAGCCTGTGTAGGTCTCTGGGGTGGAGTGGGACTCTTTTATATCAACAAACCCAAGGCTTTAAAGCACTGCAGAATGGAAATACCAATTAACTCTCAAGAGTATTGGCAAGCCTTAGAAGACCTTATTGCATCCCATTTTCACCATGTCTTTCCTTTCATTCTTATCTATTCACTTTTTTCTTCCAGGCTTGGCTTCCTCTGTCTCTTCTCCAAAACCTCCTCTATCATTTGTTCCGCCCCTGGGACTTCTACCCTTTTGATGAGACACAAAGCCATTTATATCCTATAAAAACCTTCAATTTTACTAACATTGAACCCTCCTTCATCTTATTCCTTTGAAGTCCCCGGGTTTAACCACATGCATTCCTCCTCTGAGGCTCTAGGAAGCAATGCTGGGGCAGTCACAGGCTCTGCTCTTTCCCTGCAGACTGGTTTTGTTGATACCTTTCTGGACTCTGATGAAAGACAGGGTCCAGCATTCTCAAGGAGCTTTGTGCAGCCGTCCGGCAGCTCTCATCACCTACTGTGTTCCTTTTAATCACATAATTCAGGAATGGAAGCTCCTCCTAATCTCATGTTGCAGCACAAGATCAGGGTGTGTCTCACAGCCAGGGTATTGCCCAGCAGATCCTCAGCAGATGGGACTCTGCTGATAAAAAGCAATTACAGTCCTGTAGAAGGACAAACAACTGGAATTACCACTCTCAAATTAGGACCTGGGGTGGAAACTAAACATATCCCTGCTTTTGTAATGCTTGACTGCACTTTAATCCAACAAAAGTAACTGGGAAGGGAGGGGAGAGGAAAAGCCTCTTACAAATGGTTTCTGAAAAACCTCAGAGACTTGCTCCTAAAAGGATGAGACAAAACATGCTGACAGATCTCCATTTGTTGTTTTCAGTCTGCCCAGAGTATAATTAGGTAGATGTTTTAGCTGGTTGGTCAGGAAAAACTTCAGTGGTCCTTCTGCGTACCATGTGTGGAAAGATAACCAGGGCAGGCTGCTGTCCCATGAGGGGCAGCACATGTGCTGCAGTTTATCCCATCTTGTTTTAGTTCTTTTGGTCCATTATTTGCAATATGGCAGTTCCAGGAAGGAGAGCTAACAGGTCTGAAGGGATCTCAAGCCCAATTCATTGATGGCTTCACCTTTGGTACTTCACCTCCTTTTGCCACACAGCTCCAGCAGCTCTTTCACTGATTAATCCTTTAGTTTGTGTTGCCTGCATAAACTAGATGACCCCAATGGTCCCTCTTTGCCTTAAATACTGGGACAACTGGCCATGGGAATATTGACACAGCTCTGCCCTGCAACACAAGGAGGCATCTCACTGTGTTTGCTTGAGGAATAAGCTGCCTGGCATCTGTCACCTGCTAAGACCAGCCACCAACACTGCTACCCAACCATGTCACAGCAGTTTTCCCTTCCAGCAAAATGAATAACTTCTCGTCAGCTCGTGGTCTGGGGCAGGGGAAGGAGCAGGGGCGTGGAGCTCACGGTGGGAGTGCAGGGGGCTGTCAGTGGCCTCTGCAGGTGACACAGATCGGTAATCCCACTTCCTGACCACGGCTTCACAAATGTACAAGATCTTGTAAGATATGGGGCTGTGCAATTGGAGGAATTTGCTGCTTTCAGGCTAACACTTTGCTGTTGCTCTTTGTGAAGGACATTAATGAAATGTGCTTGACCAAGCGTTGAGGCTGAGGGTCTCTCAGTGGGTGCTTGAGGGTTTTGTTGAACCCCACTGTGCTTATCAAAGGGCCCTGCCAAAAAATGTAGCCATCAGTGCTGTAAGCAGAGGGCAGGGAGGAAGGCTGGATGCCAGGGAGAGGTAAGGCAGAGGAGGGCAGAGCCTTATCTCAAGGAGCACAGGAGGAGACCCGAGGTAGCATTTTCTGGCAGGAAGGCAGCATACCATGTTTCATAAAGCTGGCTTCCTTCCAAAGTTGCATAACAACTTGTATCTTGTTTCTTTTGTGCTGATGAGGGGAAAACAAAGAAATCAAGATTTATCTGGCCCCAAACTCCTCGGCAGCTGTCACTACCAAGAGCTGCCCATGTGCCAGTTTGGCTTTCCTTGACAAACTGATTGCTTGCTCTGATTTCTCCACATAACTCCGTACAAAAATGTTTACCGTGGACATACAGTGTCAAAGCTCTACTTGAGCTATTAAAATGTCATTTTATGGACAATACAAGTACGTGGCTTCAAGGCGAGTGGCACCATCACAGGTGTAACCACTGGTATGAAATAAATGGGCCAATGAACAGAGCACTTCAACAGGCCCGTCTGTCTCTTTGCAGACAGATTAAGATCCGTGTGAAGCTGAGCTGGTGTGAAGGTGTAACACCTTCCAATGGCAGAGACCTCAACCAGCACAGTCAACTTCATCTTTTTAAATGAGTGACACGTTCCTGCCTTTCAGAGAGTTTACTGCAGGCCCTGCTGAGCTTCTGAAGTAATTTGGAAAGGAATTTCTTGATGTGCTGAGCAGCCCAAATTCTGCTGATGGCTCTGGTATTGCAGAGCCTCCCTGCACTGTGGATGTCTCATAGCCTTGTGTTGGACCTCAGTAACAATGGAGAATGACACAGAAAATAGTAACCAAAAGCTTATGAGATATCACTGGAACAAGATGGAATTATTTTTAATGGTAATTCTCCTGCTAATGTTTTTTAACACTGACCAAAAGACTTGTGCTTGAACTTGAACCTCCTTGAACGCTGTGTTGATACAATTACTTTCTATCTTTCTGTTTTTCTTATCGTATACTGTATCTATACACTGTGATGTGTCCTGTTTTCCTCATAAATAGGGTATTAAGAACTGTTGATTGGTGGATTCATGGCAACTTTGCCTGGACACTAGCATCATTCAGTATTTTGGGAATTTTCTCATTAGGAACACTGATAGTCGAAGGTTTTATGGGAAGTAAAACAGTTTAAACAATTTTTAAATTAAATTTGAAAACTAAATTGAGAAATTTGAATTTTAAAGAAAGATGTAAGGAATTTTGCATTTCCTGCCATGCTAAGTGTCCCAAAGGAAAACTGGAAAGAGGGGATAACTGATAATATTAGAATTTTCTGTAGAACTCAGGCTGTTGTGTTACATTTTAATACCTCCAATATACTTCATTATATTTGATATTTAAATCCCTAAATGTGTCTGCTTGTCTTACCTCTCTATCATGACTATTTTGTCCTTCAACTTGAATTAAAATAATAAATAAATTGGATTTCTTGCCATTTTCACATCTAAGGAACATGAAAGTGTTTTAGAGGTGGCCAAGCCCTGGATGCAGAGTGCTCTGAATTGACTTAAATAACAAAACCATCTGCAATTGGTGCTTAAGGTGCCTCCATTCAATTAGGCATTAGAGATGGAGAAGCACATGTAGGAGTCTGGGGAAGCAGCTGGAGGGCTGTGAGCTGAAA